AGGAAAGTTAATGCAAAGATAAGGACATGCGTCGCTCACTCAAAGATATATTTGCTGCTAGACTTCTACTGCTTGAACATATATGCAACACGCCTCGGTTTCTTGGAAGCAAAATGCTCAATAACGCGCTGATTAAAGTCATGCATCCCAGAAATAACGTCTCTGTGAATGGATAAAACAGCCAAGGAATTTAATCTATCTTGCTTCATTGTGTTTCTGAGATACGTTTTAATACGCTTCAGCGTGCTGAATGTTCGCTCTGCGTCGGCGGAAGAAATAGGCGTCGTCAAAATGATGTTCAGAAATTTTGCAGACGCCGCAAAGGTAGTTACTAGAGTGTTATCTATGAGGAACCCATAGAGCGCGCAAGTTGATGTGATGTTCAAAAAAGTTTGATTGGTGTATATACATCGCAATTCATTTTCCAATATACCCACGTTCATCATGGGGCAAAATTTGGAGACAGTAGCCAACAAATGGATGGGAAATTGACGTGCAAATTTTGAAAAATTTTTGGGGTTCATCAAAGAGAACGCGGCAGGGTGTTCAGTGCGCAGACGATCGCCTATTTGATTCACCAGAATATCACAGCATTCCTTTGCAGAAAAAATCAAACGCTGCGTTGTTTGCCCGCGGCGTAAAGAAGCACTCCATGTGTCGTCATATTTTATTGTTTCCCGGATACGAGATACAGCATCGCAGAAGTCTGAAATACACGACTGCACAGACGCTCCGTCCATTAGCCTTGACTGCAATGCGCCGTATAATACATCCACGTGATAGAATATTGTGGAGAAAAAAGCGAGAAAAAACGAAAACTCACCATCTTCTAGCAGACGCTTTAACCTGCCGCCTCCCTCACAGAGCGTTCGTCCCGAACCGGAGAGCTCTGAATGCCATTGAAACACTCAATGAGCTCAGACCTAATTTCGGACACGCCCTGCACCACGCGTGATTGGAAGTTCTAAGCTGGGCGACGGCGGCTACATATCTGGTGAAGGAGGTCAGAGCGCTTCGGCGAAACGGAAAAAAAATGAAGAAAACCTCGAAACATTTGCAAAAAATATACGGACGAGAGGGGTATCAAGACACATATTTTTAATAACGAGGTTAAATTGGTGTGCATAACAATGTAAAAAATGCGCATGAGGAAAATCTTCTTTTATATAAACTTGAACACCATGTTTCGACCCACTCATGACTGCCGCGCCGTCATAAGTTTGAGCTATCAATTTTGACTTCGCGTTGTAAGGCTGTAACACTTCTCTCAGTACAGCCGATATCCCGCAAGCCGTGCGATCAACGATTGGTACAAAGCTGTGAAATCTCTCGGTAGGTTTACCATCTTTCACGAACCGAAAAATCACAGCCAGTTGGGAAACGCACGTGATGTCAGTTGTTTCGTCAGACTGAATCGAAAGGAACTGGCAATTCTCAATTTCCAGAGCCAAATGTTGTAAATAAATTTTATACATTGAGTCGAGCAAATCATTTTGGATATCCTTAGATGTCCCTTTCGAAACAGTTGCGGCATCAAGATGATCTCTCAATACTGTATCTAGGGATGCGGTGTATTCCACCATATCCAAAAATACCCCTCTATTAGAAGAGCCAGCCCGGTCATCGTGCCCACGGAGGGACAGCTCGTGACAACCAATGAACTTCAAAACATCTATCAATCGACCGCGAACATGGCGGTTTTTCTCGACGTTTTGGTTGTGCCGACGAATAGAAACCGCGCGTCCTTCATCCAACTGTGCTGCAATATTAACATTTCCGAATGTTCGGTATTTTACTGCATTGTCCAGATGCTCCATAGAAGATTGATGATCCATGGCACGCTCGGAAAGATGTTTAAGATCTCTAAAACCAAATTTACACCAACGTGAGTCACGGACGGTAGCAATAAGTAGGCAATAAAAACAAAAAAGTGCATTTTTGTCCTCGCTGTAACACAACCATTCGTGTTTTTAATACCAAGTTTCTGCGCAGAATGTACGCCGACGCTTTCCTCCGTCATCGGATTGTTCCAGTGAACAATTTTTTGGTTGATAAGGCCCAAGACGTTGTACCTATAATTTTTGTTCCAGCGGCAGCTGCGAAAACGGAGTGCGAAGTAGTGCACCAACCTTATTCATTATGAGGTCTAAGGCTAAGAAATGCGAAGCCGGAAAGAAGTGAGGAGCTCAAGAGGAATGTGGAAAATCGAAAGCAAATGGACTAAAGGTCTCTAACTGATTCAAATAGCGAAACAAGCGACAAAAACGAAGGCGAAGAAACTATCAACTCTTCCAATCAACTCTTCAAGCAACCAACGAACGAGAAGGAATGCGTGAATATGTCAACACGTTGTAAGAAACGTCGCATTGTGTCGTCATAATTTCGGGGCTAGCCCCGATGATTTAGTAAAAGAAACCGAAAACAAACGAGACAAACGCGGCGAGTGGAAGATAAAAGAGAGAATACGATATACAATGAGCAACCGGGGCAAAATCGGCGTCGCCCCGTCGACGTTCGGCGGAGGCTTTGCGAGCGAAAAATGAACCATGTCGGGAGAATATGGCTAGTGTAGACAGTCTGTGCAACCGATATTGAGGTATTTTTCGAATATTTTTTATTATACCGAAAAAACAACCGGGGCATTGCCCCGGTTGGCCCTATTGACGCGCCGCCACTGGTATATATAGCTCATTGGTATTCGTTATCAAGAGATATCCAAAATTATGACAGTGATTCTTTTTTGAATCTGGACTGTAAAGTAAAATCCCAATTTTAATCAAGCTTTTTCTTTTTCATCGGGTTTTTAATATTAATCACTCTGTAGTTGACAGACGCCTCAAACGAAATGAATTTACATTACAATGACAAAGTCTTTGGTAACTTGGCACCAGGGTGCCCAATCCTACTGTGTCTGCTCAAAATACTGGAAAAAATCTCAGCGGCTCATGCTTTTTTGCGCGTCTCGTGACCACCTGTAGGGTCGCAACAAGTTCATATCTTACTGGGATATTATACTGTTCTTTTCTATTTTCTGGTTCAAACAAAGAAATATGCATAACGTTTTACATGGATTGTCATATTAATCAGGAAAAACATGCAGAACAGAAAAAGCACGCCTGCCGATTTTTAGGTTTCTGAATCTTGAAGGGATTTGATGAAGCGATAAATCGCAGCCGAAAAAGAGAAAAGTGTGATTACTCGGCGCCAATATGTCGCAAAAGACGTCGCCAAGATGTCGCAATATGACGGCGAAAGACAACTTGCGCAATAAGCAAACGCAACCTCGTTTTCGGCAAAGCGATTGGGACGGCATAAAAACAACGAAATTTCTTGCGGACCGGCAAAAAAGCTTTTTCTTTCTTTCACTAAAAGTTAAACCAAGGATTAGACATATTACTGGAAATGATTTATGTGTACTTTGTTATCAAGAACCAGAATTTATATCTCATTTATTTTGGAACTGTGCATTTACACAAAATGAATATGATTATGTTTTTTCTGTCGTAATAAAAATAAACAATTGGAGTTCAAAAATATTTATAAAACATGTATTTTACTAGAACTAAATATACAGTGTTTTTCACATTTATCATTAGTTGAACGTAATGCAGTCATACTTCTTCTGTGTACTGCAAGATATAAAATATGGTTAGAACGTAAGGCAGTTATTTTTGAAAATGTTAATCCAAGTGTAAATAATGTCATAACAAGAATTAGAAAATCCCTTTTAGCAAGGAGAAATCTAGAACAACTTGGACATAATCCTAGTTTTATAAAAGAACTAGACATAATTTGTAAGAATTTATGACTAATTGTATAATTTTTTATTTTTCTGCTATAAATTAAAAACATATAAATTAATGTATATTTACTGATAAACATGGGAAACTTTATCTGGAATCAACAATGGAATAATATGAATGGCTGGATAATACTGAATGATGTTTACGAATATATTTGTTTATTATATGTAACTATGTTCTATGATTATTATTTTTTCATCATTTATTTATTTTAACAAAACTGTTATGAATCCATAACGTGGACTTTAAAAAAAAAAAAAAAAAAAAAGCTTCGCGGACCGGCGGTTTGGAACCACTGCTTAAACCAACATGAGTTCTGCACAACTTCATAAATCAATCAGAAATATATATTACGTAGCAATGTAGCCAAATGAACGTGTTCTTCCCGACAAAATTCGTCGATAGCTCAAGTGTTACGCCATAATATATATATTTCTTTGAAGCCATACGTCATGAAAAGACAAAAAGAGTTTAAATAAATAATAACAGATTGTTAACAAACGATAATGAATAAACGAACACCGAGTTTTATCAGATAATTCAGTCTTGAAACTTTTTATCTGAAATAGGACGATCTCGTTTCTGAGGCCTCGCTCGCGTGCCGAATAAATGAGCTCGCGTGCCAAGTTTGGCACGCGTGCCAGGGGTTGCCCACCCCTGGCCCATAGTATTAGGGTTGGGATTTCGGAGCCAGTTTTTGAAATCCCGGTATTGAGCCGTACAATCCCGGGATTAAGTAAAATATTGAAACAACTTGCAATATAATAAAATCACTTATTTATTTTATCCAATATCGACACAGAAATATTAGAGCATCTAGGGCAGTGGTTTCCAACCTTTTTTTTTATATCGTGGCACACTATTTAGCTATTTAAATATTCGCGCCACACCTATCACAAAACACGAACATTTTCTACTCATAAAGAGTGCGATAGTCGAACGAAAACAAAGTGTTAATAGTTACCGATATTACTGTTGCGCTCGATTCTATGTAGCCTGGTTACTTCTCACGCACATTAAGAGATTGGAGACTTCAAAAACGCGTCCCAATACCCCAGTCCTGACCCCAAACCTATATTGGTTAATTGTTACAACTAGTCCGTGCTTTCGAGCAATTAAAGTCTGTAAACAGCGGTTAAAGTGCCCCCAGATTCTTCTGTGCCTTTCAGGTGCTGCCCCAATATAATTCAACTTGAAACCGGTGAATATCTTTAATACCAATCAACAGACACTTCAAATCAAATCTCGAACATGAATCAGGAAAATAGAACTTGTCGGGTACGAGAAACGGAACGTTGTTAATGGAACGTAACGTAAATATTGATACCGGGTATGAGGAACGTAAAGGAACGGTTTTCTGCCAAAATAATAGATAAAACTAAATAGCTTATATGGCACAATTAATCAAATATAACAGCATTACCATTTTACAAGCAATAACAATTCACATCAATTAGCAGATAACCATATGTCACAATTATGTACAGATTAAATCACATAGGATAAAATAGTATTCACAATACTTAATCAAAACAGCAATAAATGATACCAGATAAAACAATATTTACATACCGAATGTTTAGGATCTCCAGGCAACTCAATTCAACAAAATATAATCCAAAGTAAATACAACTTAACTTATGTGACTAAATACACGGAATAGCAGTTACCGGTATCCTTCTATTTGGACTATAATACAACTCTAACCTGTATCCCTACAGTATATTACAACTCCAGTGTAAACCCTTGATTTCAAACCCAATTAATAATTTCAATCCGAATCGTTTATTCTAACCGCAAATAGTAAACCCAATATCAAACACGATAAACAACCTCTAGCGCGATAGATTACACTGGATACAAGACAGAAGGTGCCAACGAAGCAGCGTGGCGGCAATTTAGAGTTCCCGGGATTAATCGAGAAACGTCTCAAACAGGACAAGTCGCAATGATGCTGCGTCGATACGTTTGCAACGTCTGCGTAACAACGTGAAACGTCATCAAATTAGAAACACGTTATGATTCTCGCTAACAATTACAACAGTTTTCTTACATTAATGTAAACGAGAGCGTCTTCGGAGCACCTCACATTATTGTAAACGTTGCGCGGCCGCACGGGTAATACGTGGCCTTCAAACGTGCCGCCGATCACGCGCTTAGGTTTTGCTCGCCGTTCCACGTTACGCCCTTATTATTATCACATGGTGACCGTACATTTGAACCCATGCGCATGTATATCCACGGGTTCAATCTATATGCGGGTGTTAAAACCCATGGGTTAGGGTTAGTATGGGTTTAACTGTCCGTGAAACAAAAAAAAATTCCACAGGTGCAATAGCATACAGGTGCAATTGTCATGGGTTCAAATGTACGTGGGTTCAAATGTAATGGAACCTTATCACATGTATTGTCACTTTTTCACAACTTAATTCATAAGCCTCAAAATCTCGGAATTTTTAGGAAATAATTGCGGCTACGGAATTGAAAAAAAAACAGTCCAAACCCGGGATTTCGGGATCTGGATTTCCCGGGATCCCAACCCTACATAGTACGGTACCTTTACCCTATTGAAAAATTCTCAGTTTGCTCGTTCCGTAATTTGACAGTAGGACTATTTAGCGAGGTTTGATAGTAAAATAGAGGCAAACAAACAGCAAAATATTATCCAGTTCAAACAGCTTCACAATGTCTTGCAGAAACTTCATTAGAACTGCGTTTAACACGTTTAGTATAAAAAAGACAGCAGCAAATTTCTCATTAAATTGGATTGTCCTTTTCTGCACCGCCTACTTTTGTCCTAATTGCAATTTATTTTGAAATTTTACCGGTCCGCGAACTGAAAAAGGTTGAGAACCACTGGACTAGGTCAAACAAAAATTTTCGTTATGGACTAGGTCTTATTTTAAGGGGAGGGCTTATACTATAATCGTTTTTAAAATCATGCTAAATTGGGAAACACGGTATTTGCATCTCCATGTCTCTGTGAACACGAATTTATTGCTTGACTAAAATGAATTAAAAAAGGGAGCGACGAAAATCCAATTGTTTCTCAAAACAGGCACACACATTAACATTTGCAGAATAAATTTGTTTGAAGCCAACTTCACATTTTTTTACAACTACGCCGCGAATTTTGTTTTGGGTGCCGCGAACAAAAAAAGTTTGAGAACCACTGGTATAGTAGATTGTGGATGACGTAGCCAGATGGGCCGGCAGTGCTTACCGCATCAGTTTGGGTATATAGGAATGGTTTATGAATTTAATTGAATCAGAATCAATCAATAAAGTTATTATTTCCAACCAGTAAAAAATAAATAACATAGGCACAAAGTACAAGAAAATAATAAAGTACCGTACCAGTACACAGTTTTACTGGAGAAGGGGAGTCGCGGGGAACCAAAGCTGCAGAAGCTGGTTATCCAGCACCGACACCCGTATAATAATGCATACTGCAGTCAGTATGGTGGACTACTTTGTTTTGCACTGTTTTTCGGTACTTTTCCAGACTCCTGTTTAAAAAAATTAAGGAAAACAAAATATAGAATACCCGTAACGTAACACATTCTGACATTCAGACATTGGGGTGGAGGCTAACTTGCCACGGTGGCTAACTCGCCATGTGAAGGAAGCTGTATCCGACCAGTGGGTATATTAACCACCTTATGGCGGCGAGGATTCCAGCAATTTCTCGCACATGCTGACATGACCATCCGTCCATTCCCGCGTGGGATTTGAACCTGATTCGGGCTGTTTTACTTAAAACTTCAATAGTCTAATAGTGCTACTCGCCATGTCTATTTTCTTCATATTTCAGTATTTGTTGATCGACATCGCGAGCTCGAGAGAGTCAACTCGACATGTCTATTTTCTTTATATTCGTTGATCAACATGGCAAGCTCGAGGGAAAGAGAGAGCCAACTCGCCTTGTCCATTTTCTTTATATTCGTTGATTGACATCGCTAGTTCGAGATAGAGACAGGGTGGCAATTTTTTACGCAAATGAAAATAAAATCAGAAAATATAACAATGTGTAGGTCATGGGCTTTTCCATATGCTTAGAACAGTGAAAAAGCTTGCTCATCTCTCACAGTCTCAACTAATGTGAGTATTTTCTGAGTTCAGATTTAGGACAACCAAATAAATTTAATACATTAATATGTTGAATCCTCAAGATTTAACTCAAGTTTTGAGTCAAGCAAACACTGGGGGAGTACAAAGCACACTTCTTGTCAACAATGAAGGATCCTTAGTCGCATTTTCTGGATATGGAGATACAAATGTTAATGTGAAAGCTGCCATTACGAGTAGCATTTGGTCTGCATATGAGAAAAGTGGAAGTAATGCACTTAGTAATGAAAATCTACAATTTATGCTTTTGGACTGCGATGATGGTCGAGTTGTCATGACGAGAGTTGCAAGTTTGATTTTGTGTCTTTTTGCAGAAAAATCTGTCAATGTGGGAATGTTGAAAGCAAAAGCTGATGCATTGACAAAATATTTGAGTGAACCTCTCAAAAACCTTGCGTTAGTTACATAATGATGTGCAGACATTATCCAGTTATCTGCAAGTATGTAATAACATTCTAACAACTATTTTCTATGTCTGCGAAATGAACAGAACAGTTTTAATTGTATTTTTTCTGTGAAATGTAGGGATACAAGTTTTATTCCTTATTTGATTCTTTCATTTATTTACCGTGAGCTAGGATCGATTGTCATTAGGTTTTTGATATAGCTACTTGGCCTACCATAAAACAGCCTAAATGCAGTTTCACAGAAGGGGTCCGCTAAATTAATATAACTGTATAATGATTTCAAATTTTAGGTGGAACCTTGAACTTTCAATTATACAAATTTAACTTGAAAATTATTTATAGGGAGCATTAGAAAATTATATATGTAAAATAATAACCAAATGGTTATAAGATGGAGCCACTAAAATTTTTCACAACTCTGGCTCTCCAGCCCTGCTGAGACATCTGGTTTGAAATTTTGAAGTACATTTCTATGTGCTGTAACAGTGAAGTGTCGGATATCAGAAAATTTTCCAATGTTTATAACAATATTTTTAAAACATTTAGCATTCTCTCTCTCTTCAGCCACTCTCCCTACTCGCTCTTTATAAACCCTTTAACTGATAACTCCTACTCCAGCCTCCTATAAAATTTCATGACTCAGACTCTCCAGCCCTGCTGAGACATCAGACAATTTGGTTACATCTGAAATACATTTCTATGTGCTGTTACAGTGAGGTGTCAAATATCAGAAAATTTTACAAAGTTTAGGACAATATTCTTTAAAACTTTTGGCATTCTATAGTTACTCTTCCTACTCACTGCGTTCAAAATATTTCGACGTAAAATTCTGTTGATAATATGAGATAGGGTATGAGCAAAGTGTAGGCCTTTATGTCAGTATGCATGACTCAATATTATTTTTTCTTTGCCACAATTTTCATTTGATGTGTTCAATTCTGCAATGTGCAATTCTCTTTTTTTATATATATTTCTGTTCAACATTTTCTCATGAATAACTATGAACAAATGTAATTATCTGGTAAAAACAATTATTTAGTCAGATTTACATTTGCTTGATAGTAATAGAGAATGCTCATTATTGATATTGTTATAAAAGGTTAAATATTGTTCTATTATTGATTGAAATAGTCATTCTACATGAAGCGTTTCATTCAAAAGATAATAATTAATAAAATGTTTTAATTACTTTTAAGTTTATGAACACAGATATCCTAATCTGTGAAATGAATTGCTAAAGTAGCTATTTTTTCTATACTGAATCTATACTCTGGTCATCATGATTTTATGTTACATTTATTTGGATATTTAATTAGGGGTCTCATGGTCACGACACATCTATGTGGCCTGCTGTATGATAAATTCACTACTTGTTGATGCAAAGATACCCGCAAGGTTTAATTATACAAGAAAAAATATGGGGTCTAGTGTACTTCTAGTGGGTGAAGCATAACAATTTGTGCATATGTCAATCCTAGCCCCCACCTGACTGGGTCATCCAAAAATCACGTCACTACACCATCACAGTGACATAATAAGGGCCTTCAAACTATATGCACTGTCATCCAAGACACGCAAACGTTCACCCAAAATGGAACAGCTATTTCTCTCGTTTTGTCGGCGCAGCGATCCTGATACGAGAGAGATCGCTGCTGTTAGTGAGTTGTTTATCGTCGGCGCAGATGCTATTTGGGGCGATTGTAGGTATACTTTGACAAGCTCTATGACGTGTTTGTGACGTCGTAGTGACGCAATTTTTAGATGGCGTAGTCAGGTGGGGGTTAGGATTGTGCAAAAATTGCTGTGCTACACGAGACCCAAAATATGTAATGGTAGCTGCGGACTTGCAGTGTCAAGGATTTGTTTCCTTTAATTGGGAAAATATAAACTTGTTGTTATTCCTGAACTATCCATTACTGATTATTTTCTTTCAATGATTACGTATACCCTAAATTTCCATATTGTGATAGCTTATTAATACTGATGATATATCTGGTTTTGTTTGCCATTTTCATTCTGAGTGTTAATATTTTGCATCAATTTTTCTAGATGATTGCTTCTGATTAGATCTGTGGAATAACTTTTTGTAGGGTAGCCTACATAACTGTTCAATTTAAACTTAAACAAAGTCGCATTCACTATGTCTAGTTCTGAATTAACTCATGTCCATGATGGAGAGGATGTGGAAAATAGTAACAGTTTCCAGACTAAATTTCAAGAAGCTCTTGGGAATCCTGAAAAATTGTGGGATTATATCAACGAAAACAAAGAAGCAGAAACTGTTATCCGACCTGTTGCTTGGGAATTGATCGGTTCCACTATAAGTTTTCTCAGAGAAAATGCCATTTCTGAAAATCTGAAGACATATGAGAAATGTTTGGAGAAAATTGCTGGATTCGCAGTACCGAAAGATGTTTATCTGGGTATATTGGAACAATTTGACCCGAGTATTGAGTCGATGTATGTTGAACTTCTCATGCCTGCATTATCAAATGTTCTTGAGAAGCTTGCTCTAAATGACATCGATGCGTGTATCACTGTCCTTGAAACTACATTTTCAACTTTATCATATTATCTTGAAAGTCTAAATATTCCTAAGTATGAAGATTTTGATCCCACATTAAAACGAACAAAAAAATTCGAAGCTCAGAAAATTGAAAGTTTTATTTCTAAATATATTGATTTATTAAACCCAGTGGTGAAAGAAATATACTCTAAAAACAACCAGATATCTTCAAATATTCTTCAATTTGAAAGTTATATGTTTCAGTTTTTATGCAATTTGCTCATAATGCTGGGACAAGTTGACTTAGATGAGCCCTTACCAGATAAAGAAAATGATCCAATAAGAGAAAATGTAATTTTTCCGGGGACTTCAAAAATATGCTGTGACGTTATGCTTAAAATAACACATTTTCACTCACCAAATGTTCTGTGGCATATTGTGAATTGGTACAAGTTACAACCAGCTGAGGAGCGGTCAATGGAAGCTAAATTTGAAATTGTAAAACAAGTCGATCGAGCGAGAGCATGTTATGTTTTTTTATTGCTGTGTAGAGGTTTGCTTTATGATCAATTTCCTAAAGTTTATTCGAGTCAATGTCTTTTGGTATTTACATGCATATCACTAAACACTCTACTTTCTTGTGAAAACCAGTGTGTGGCATGGAAAGGTTTAGAAACTCTTTCATTCATTTTGAATCAAACAAGTGATAGCTCAATCTCATGTGGCGAAGTTGTCTATAATATAAAAATGTCTTATGGAAGCTTTCAAGGTCGTAGTCAATCACTAAATCCCATCCTTGATGTTTTTAAAAATCTCATTAGCATTGCTGTTATGCTACCTTCGAAAACTATCCGTTCAACTGCTATACAACATGTGACTAAACTACTGAATTTATTCCGTTGGGAGGATAAATATTCAATTTTGGTTCATCTGCTCCGAACAACAGATCACAATGGTGTACAAGGAGTCTTGATTGGTTACTTAAAAGATCGTTTCAATGAAATTTTACAAGAAATTTCCCCAAAAAATTCTTCCATTTTTTGTGAAGCTCATAGAATGTCTACTCTAGGAGAACTGATATTCTTATTACCTCAAGGAACAGAGACTGATTTACTTGAAGACTGTGACAGACTCATGCCTGCATTGAATTTGTTTCGTTTCCTTCTTATCAGAGATAAGACGAACAAAACAGGAATACTTGATCATTTGGATAAATTAGATACAGAGTTTCTAAAACCTTTGAGGAATGCTATTGATCTATCTCGAGCTCATTATGAAAATGAACTAAAGAAGTATGATAGGAGTTCTGAACGTCCTGATGACAATAAAACTGAATTTCTTGTTAATGGAACCCCATTACCTACATTACCATACAAGGAGCAAAAGCGAACACTTGAGGCAGCATTGCATACTTTTGATATGATTGAAATTGTTACAATTAGGGTAATTGAGTTGATAGATGTTTCATACACAAAACACAATAGTGGATGTGAAAAGCATACTCAAAACAAGCTATGATTTATTTAATTAATGAAACATATATTGAATAAGACGGCTGTAGCTCTATATGCTTGTATTATTTATTCGAACTCCCGAAGTATGTGAACCAAAATACTCTGAACATAGTATGTGTACCACGTTAAGGTTAGGCCCTAATTGTATTCCAATTTTCCTTATTTTAGTTCTATTACGAGTTCGGAGACTAGCCAAGTGACTCTCGTAGTATTTGTACCTGAAATTATGGCCTAACCCTAACCTGGTACACATACTACGTTCCGGTGTCCTCCATCTTGGTTCACATACTTTGGAGTACCTATTTATCTCGTTGTTCCTAATTTGAATAAAAATTAATGACTTTGTTTTTCATTTTTGTCACTCCCCAATCTGTTTTCAAAGTCTGTTGTGCAATTTAAATTACCAGAAGTTAGCTATAGAGAGTCAGCCTTTTCGAAAAAAATGCTTCAATTATTTTTTGAATGTTTAATAACATATCTTTCGGGAGATAACTTGAAATTTGCATCCATGAATTATTGAGTTTATTTCTTGTTAAGATCAGTTTTATATATTATTCTTATTTTTAGTATATATTTATATACATAAATATAATGAATATTAGCAATCAATCTGACAATTCATTGGAAGAAGATGCAATATTATATGACTTGTCATATCAAGTGGAATGGCCCGAACAAAAGGAAGTTGTCGGTGAGATATTTATTGCTTGGTCCATATATAAAAAAAATCCATATATAAAAAAAGTTTTATGCAAGTGAGCATATTTGATACATGGCGATGACGAAGCTGTGTATTCTCTGAATTTGACAGCTTTTATTAATATTAAAGTTGAAAATATATTTTCAAACAGACAGACCCAATATTTTATTCAGTAGCCTAAGTCAGCTTGCAGTTTAATGCGAATTTTCAGACTCCACAAGACCACAACTCAGTGGTAATATTTCAGTTTATAGAGATTTTTTTTTTAATTCTGTGAAAATTGATTTTAATTTTAAAACCAGTCATTAATCGTAATTGTATTTGGCTGCTTGAATATGTTTGTAATTATAAAAATTATAATATTCCAGGAGGTTCACAACAAGATGAAATTCAATCAAATGTCATTTACAACAATGCCAAACGGATTCAGTCTTCAATATCAAGGTGGACATGGGCAACTGTCCGGGCTGTTGGTATTCCAGTAAGATCAGGAGCATCATGTATTTTGCCACCAGACTTGATCAAGTTAATAAACAGCCAAGAATCATGGATGTTTGCTAGATCACCTGATGGTAATTTTATTGCAGTATTGCAAGATGGATGTTTGGAAGTTCTCTCATCCAAAGATGACTACAGTGTGCTAGTCGGGCGTTGCAATTTTACAAAAGACCTTTTTCCTCAATGGCGAAAAATTTCTTGGAGTCTACATTCTACAACAATTGCTTTTTCTGACAGCGATGGTACCGTTTATGTGTGTGACCTCAAAGGAATACTTTTACTCACTTATCAAGGTCACATGAATGATGACAAAAAAGCTTATGATTATAGTTCAGCCATTTGTAGTTTGACTTTCATTGGACATGAAGTGACACACAAACATAAAGATGACAGTTTGCATTTATTGGTCGTGTCTTACAGTGGAATGGCGACTTGTCTTGAAATAAACAGCATTTATGAAAGAGGTTATCAAATCACGTATGAATTTGATTTTTCACCGAGTTATTCTAATGGAGTGAGTGGTGTTCTTTATAATCAGGACCACAGTATGATTATTGTTGGTGGATGTGCTGGTTATGCCACGAGCGATGATGATGTACCGAGAGCGACTAGGATTGGATTAACAGCATGGCGGCTTCTGTCAGAAGAACCTTTTCTCAAAGCTCTGAATGTTTTTTCAGATGTTGATGATGCTAAACGAAATCAGAGTTTTCTGAGGAGGCTGTCCACTGTTCCAGTAGGTTTGGGTAAAAAATTGCGAAAACAGTTTTTTGATGGAATATATACGATGTCATTATCACCATGTTGTAAATTTCTGGCTACAATTCAAATATCCGGTAGTCTTTCCATATGGGATATCCCTTCTCTCAGACACAAAAGATGTTGGAACAAAGAAGATCAACCATTTTTTGATAGCCTGGATCCGGATGCTGTGAAATCTATAAATTCTGCTAAAAAGTTCAAGGAATATCCTTTATTACAAAACATTATTGACTGTCAGTGGTGGAACGACTCCAGTGTTATTTTAGCACGTTGTTCTGGTTCATTGACAGTTGTACGTGTTTCTGGTTTGTCTCTTGATAACCTTTTTGGTGAACAATGCGAGTGGTTGGAGCCAGCTCCGAGAATATCATTCTGCAGAGATGAGGGTTTCCTTGCGTTAGAATGCCAACCTCAAGTTAAAACATTGAAGCGACAACGTATGGATTCGGTAGAAGAAGCACAAAAGGAGGAAGATGAGGAATATGACCCCTTTTTGGATGACAGTGACAAAGAAGATCATCCAGGTATAGCAGGCCGTTTGAAAAACTACACTAAATCAACCATGTATGATTTAACTGAAATTGAATATTTTAGACCTCCAAGAAAGCGGCCCAAACTTGTTACAAAGTCATATAGACTGTTAACTTTGACAAAAACAACACCTGAGAAACTTTTTGATAAAAAATTGGATGATGAAGAATATGGTGAAGCGCTAGCTCTGGCACGTAGATATAACTTAGATAGTGACAAAGTGTTCCAAAGGCAATGGAGAAAATCACCTGTTTCAGTTGCATCTATTCAGGACTATTTAAGCAAAGTCACAAAACGATCATGGGTCATGCACGAGTGTTGTGAAAGAGTACCTGACGAACTAGATGCTGCTAGAGAGCTTTTAAAGTTTGCACTGACAGTTACAGATATTGATAAAATTGGAGAGGTGAAACACACTGAATCTAAATCATCATCAACTTCCTCAGATTCGGAATCAGATTATGAAGAATATGAAGGATTTGATGTTGAGGAACAACGACAACAAGAAATACGACAAAGAGAGAAATTTGTTAAAAAATGGTCGAAAAATTTTGATTTTGATAATTTATCACTTGAACAAAAAGAAACTATTAGAACAAGAAAAAAGATTCTGAAATACTTTGACAGACTTTCTACATATGAAAGTCTACTGGGCGGCTACGATGCAGCAAGAGAACGTTACAACAGGGAAAGATTTGCAATCTTTAGACAACAGGACATGTTAACTTCTGCTTTAGAATATGCTCGTTCATGCGATTGGAAATCAGTTGATATATTGCTAACATTTCATGGAGATGAATTACGAGAACATCGTCTTCCTATTTTGTCAAATTTTCCAAAGACACTTTCTCCTACAGAATATAAAAGCTTGTTGCCTTGCGTTGATGAGGAGGGAGAAGTCGGTCAATGGCCTGAAGTGAAGCATCGTGATCCTGAAGATTGGTGTGAAAAAGAGGAATATCAACATAAATTGACGTTGCTGACACAACCAGTGGATCCAGCATATGACTTTTATGAAGAAAACAAACATCTTAAAACTTTTCGAGTCACTTCACTTTCTGCAGAGTTGGTTAAAGAATGGTATTTACAACAGGCTGTGCAAATGGATACCGACGCTAGAGACATTGAAGGAGCATTGGATATCTTAAGCATTGGGGCAGATAACTACGTTGAAGGTCTTCAAGACTTGACAAGAGATTTTAAAACGTTGGAAATGCTGGTCTATGAATGTAACTATGATCCAGGTTTGACTTTTGTTCAACTTCAAAGAAAAAGCAAGTTAGAACAACTGAAAATGTTAATGGATAACTCGTCAAAAGAAATGTATGTTAAAAACTTTCACAGATGGGCTATACCATTTTTAAAATCAACCAATGATGTTGAGTCTGCCTCCATAATATTTTATAAATATGTTACGGAAATGGCGGAAGATGATCTAACATTTCCTTGTCAGATATTCACAAGTTTCTTGCAGGATAAGTCAATGCCTCCAGTAATTGCAAGTTTGGAAATGTTAATAAAGTTAGCTCTTGAGTCTGTTTATCTCTGTGGTAAAGCACAGCTGGATTATGTGAAAAAAATCCATGCATCCTTGGCAAAGCTAGATAGATTAGTTATGAACAATATGGCAGGTCATCTGATTGAAGACATATCTTCGTTAGAAAATCACATTTACACCTGCTCAGTATTAGCAGGATATAATGTGAAAGTTTCACCTTTCGATGTTAAAGAAGTGGAAAATGACAGAATGAAAGTTGAAAGACTTCTTACTCGCTTAAGTAGAACTGCTGGTGCACAAGAGCCACCTCTGGGTAGCAATGGATGGAACAATTTGCTCAAAGATATGTTGCAACTTCGGAATCAAATTTTTTCAAAAACTTGTGATCTTGAAGCTGCAGTTTGCCTTGAAGTTTTTGTGGAAAGTCTTCTAACATCGGGAAGTATTGCCAACTTCAGAATAGCAGGTGAACGTATGATGCGTACCGCAGATGAAGAACGTGAAGCAAGCAGAAAACGGCTTTATCCAGCACAGCAAAAACTCTCGTATGAAAGTTCAGTTGCTCTCGTTGTTAAATCATCCCAAGAATATTTTGATGCGTCATCTCCTCACAGCGAGGATAATATGCTTAGTTTAGCAAGAGAATGTCTGTTGTTGATTACAGACAGACCTCCATTGATACACGAAAAACTTGACATGATAGAGGGTGTTGTGCTTTTGCAAAGATTTGGGGTTGACAAGTTGCCTCTACAAGTGAGGTTAACGGAAGATCGTTTATCTCTCATCAAAAAAGCAATAGACATGGACAATGATGCGTACCGAAAGACAGAGCCACTGCTTCGTTTAGGAATGCTTTTTAGAGTTTGTGGTTTAAACAAAGAAGAAAGAAAGGGACGGATTTTGAACATGATCATTGACAAAGCACTTAATTGTAATGATTTGCAAACAGCATATTGCCTTTGTCAAGAATTGATAGGCATGTCCTACACGCAGGCATGGGAGGTTTGTTTTAGATTGGCTTGTGAAAGTGATTTCGAAGATATAATTGCCAAGAGAGACATATTGGCCTTTGTGGTCTGCTTTTGTGATGAATCAAAACTGGTAAAAGTAATGGAACAGATGTGTGTTTTGGACTCACAAATACTTCAAAATGTTATCAGCAAACATAGGACACAAAATACTGAGTTGGATTCTAATCCTGAAGATGTGGTTGAGCATGTGATGGAAGAAGAGTCACCCACTCTCCCGAAATCATTTGAGATACTCTCAGAAGATTCTAACCCACTCAATAAATTTGTTTCATCTACATCTGATTTTTTGTCGCCAACAAAAATGTTGGAATCAACTGCAAAAGGAACAAAAGTAATGTTATCTGCTACTGGCACAATGCTATCTGCTACTTCCAGCACAACAAAAGCCGTTTTGTCAAATGTCGGTAATACTGATTGGTGGAAAAATACAATAGATCAAACTCTTTCTATTATTCCCATACCAGATGATCAAGTTATGGAATTAGAACCTGAAAAAGAGTTATTGAATGAGGATCTGGAATTACAAGGTTGTTCAGATTTTTATTCAGGTATTATTGAAAACTCCGTAACAAAGCATGGCCTGCTGATTAACAAGGGAAGTTATTTCATTCCTACACCTGTTTCTATGTATCAAGCCAAGCTTCGTATTTTACAGCTATCACAGCAGATGCATGAACAACTCGGCTCAAATATTGATGATGAAGTAATAGTGCTCGAAAATATGGTCAAGGAAGTTCTACCATATGATTTTGCACTTGGTATTGGATATCTCCTCGCATTTCCAAATCCAGAAAATGCATTTTCTTGTATGCAAATGTTTCCAATATCAGCATTGTCAATACAAATGGCATTGTATTATTTTTCATTGCTACTGTTAGGCCTCGATTCAGAAGATCATTTATTAGATTCTAAATCAGTTTTATATAATGTTCCTCCATTGAAACTGATCAAACATGCACTAGATATAGCAGAATCTTCTGATTACAAAGGAGATCATAAAGCAAAACTTGTGTCTTCTTACCTAATCCAGCTTCGAGAACAATTGTATGACTTTTCACAAGGTGAAAAACTTCAACAACTGGGACGGGGCATCGATCTTGGTCGGTTTACTAAAGATAATGATTACAAACAAGAAACAATCTTAGGTCTTGCCATGACGTCTGATGAAGAACAATACAAACTAGCTGTTTCACTTGCACATCGTTCCGGTACAGATCTTTGGTTGGTATTTGTTACACATTTGGAATACTTGTTCTCTGATTGCCAAGAAGAACTGAATTGTCAAGATCTACATGAACGCATTAAAAACCTTAACATGGTTCCTGAACTGGTAACTCGTCCGAGTGAATTTTTTGACAGAATGGATAAGTATACATATCCTTTCATAAGTGGCAAAGATCATGACAGACTTATTCTATATTATAGCTTGTTGAATGAATGTGCATCAATGCAGGAACAATTTGTATCAAGTCATAATTTATGTAAAATCTCACCTGCTGATCATATCAAGATGTTGCGGAAAATCAAAAGTGTTGCACCAAGTTTGGACTACAAGGTGATAGTCAGTGATGAAAAAACATCGACCCACAAACTATTCTTAATATTCTTCGTCCTATATTAAATGCAGATAATATACCCATGTTTGCTAAGATGATGCCAACTATACCTTATTCGTCGTTTAAAATAAGCGCAAGTTCACTTTATCTCTTAGTAGCAAGTAAACTTCATGTGGGCAGAATTATCAGCTGAATCATTGGGAAAAGATATTAATTGGAGCATGCGGTATGATTCATGTAACTCGTTTTTACGTATGTGTTATCCCAATGATCTTCTGTCGTTTTTTCAACAAATGTTCTCAACATCAGATTTTTCCGAACTGTTGCCTCAAAAGACTCGACAAGAAATTATGAAAAAAGGAATTAAACTTTGTAAAATACAAGGCACAAAAGAACGGAAAAATCAACTGGACGAAGGAATTTTACAAAATGGACAAAGTTTTCATACAGTATTGCCAGTATTTCTGCAAATGTCTAAGCATTTAGATAGCTACTCAACTACATTCATTTCAGATTTGGTGAAAAGATCAAAAACAGATGAAAAAATGAAACATTATTTATGGCTTTATGATAAATCTCAGTCTCGGCCTGAGGAAATATTAGATGTTGCAGCAACTATGCTCTGTGATGGCTGTTCTCCAACATTTTTGCAAGGTTTTCTTGCCGTTGTTCCCGGTAACAAATGGTCACCAGCAAATGTTTTGCGAAAATGTGTTGATGATCTTATAAAAGATTTTACATCATCAGATGACAGCAATTTAGTATTTGATAAGATTTCTTCTATTGTTATCACGATTGGTGATCATGTGAAAGAGAATGGAAGTGTGTTTACATCCAGTCAAGTTATAGATTTGCTGCGTCCATTCTGCAGTGATGTCAGTGTGGAAGTGAAGATACGAGTTGATATTTTACAACTTTTAGAAGATCAATTTGAGTTGGCAGACTCTGAAGCAAACCTTCTCCTTTTACATAGATCAAGAGCAATTGTTCGAGATGGTTGGGGTATGCAAACATGTGATAATTTATTAGCAGGTGATGAAGAATCCATCAGTATTATCACAGATGATAACAAACGTTTTGCTTTGTTTCAAAGTCTTCTAATTTCCGATCAACTTGACATTATGAAATTAAAGCATCTGATCACACTTCTCAACATATGGCCTCAGTTTTCAACTTCGAAAATGCTAGGTGATAGTTGGCAGTTATTGCTTATTAATCTTGCAGACTTTGGTCAAGATGGAGGAAAAGAAATCATCGAAATAATAAGAAGGAACAAAGAAATGCTAACGGAAAGCTCTATAAATGATATTTTTAAGAAATTAATGCAGGCTAAACTCTCTTTCTTTGCAATCAAGCTTGCTCTTTTGACAAACATACCTGCAATGCGTGACCAGCTCATTAACGCGATAAAGTCAGTCAAATGTATGGGACCCAGTCAATGTGACGAAGAATTAGTTCGATTGATGCTCGAAAATTCTATTGCTGCTGAAACTGTTGGGACTCTCTACTATGCAAGAATATTAGAGTATCTTCTATCTGGTGATTGTACTGATGCAAAACGGCATGTAAACCAGTTGGCACGTCAGCTTCAAGATCAGGAAAATATTGCTGAAGCAGGAACATTGTTGCTTAATTTTAGAGGAACACATCCTGGTCTCAGAACATTCGGAAATGCGCTGTCATCATTGAGGAGGTGGCTGGAATCTTGAATGGTGTTTATAGATATGAGTAGGATAAAGAGGCAATTTTTGGTTGTGGGCATCTCTTAAATATTTGATATCAACTTGGCCTTTTTCAAAAATGTAACACTGAATCAGATTGGGGGTCTAGGGGTTCGCATGTACCCCATTTTCGGAGTGTCTCATAAATTTGCCGAATCAATTAATGTTTCTATATTAGATTCATGTAAAGCGTGTCATGTCAATGTAACTTACATACATTTACTGAACTGAGGGGAACCTGTTTTAGTGGATTGATAACAAAAGGAACCTATTTTTTGAATTCACAATCCCATATGATAAATATTTTACCAGCTTTTCAAATATATGCGGCTTATAGGTTTTGTCTCATGCCATAATGGTTTATAAATATTGTTAACATAGCATATGGGAATTGCATACATAATGTTCCATTTTGCAAGATATGTCACTAGTGTATTTTTTCTTAAAAGCGAGATGTAGTTTAATGGTGCTTGCTTGTTTTAATCATGTAGTTTATTCAATGAATTCTGAAATAATTTATACATGGCCAAGAATGGTATACTGATAGATATAGGTTCGTGTTTTAGTTCATCTATTTTTCCGTGCAATGTTGTACTTGAATTTTAATAAAATGGTTATTCCATTAGTCTGTATTATATTAGCTCGCTTATGTTATTCGAAAATGATCCCTTGAAGAGGCACTATTGATCAGGAACTTGGAAGTTAATCTCATTCATTAAATCCCATCTTATGGTGATTTTAAACAGTTGTCACAATATCTTTAATGTTGACTTGTTAATGAGAGAGATATGTTGTAAGGTAGTCTGAAAATTCTGGCATTTTGAATGACTCATTTCAGGCGCCACATTGTACAGAACACTGCAAGAGTCTTGTGGGCTCTTGATGTAGACAACCTAGAGTCGTTAGGATGTACATATGGGGGAGAGGAAAGGTGATGTTAGAGGAAGTCGTAACTAAGGATGGGCAGTAAAGAACACAATTCGGTTCTGCCTATTCGGCGCCAAACGTCTATTTTTGTATTTCGGATTTCTCGTTTATTTATCAGTGATGAGCGTACGTATTCTCTCGCGACAATATTGCTCTCATTTGATTATACTTGTGGCCATCAAACACCGTAATCCCAACTTGCATATTCAGAACGCGAAGATGGCGTTTTTGCACCATATTTACGTTTCACAATTTTACTATCTAGTTCGCTTATATATAATAATAGTTATTATTGGTGCAGACTGACGATTTTCCGATTACCTGATTGCAACAATCTTAAATTTTTGGAATACGTGAAACATTCTTTATTTCGAATTAAATGACTACTCGGGGCCTTCGAGTTCTTCCGGAAATGACGTGTACCAGACGTAAGTTGTTAAAACATTATTCGCGGTAAATTCAGATCATATTTTATTTTTCACCGTTTCCAAAAATACAAAGTTGTATCGCAAAACAAGGCGTTTTGTTACATTTTTTTGCGCATCAAGTCGCCGTTCCTATGGTCCAAGCTCGACACACGTTTGGTCGGGCGATATTCAAAAAAGTTACGACGATAAATTAAAAAAGTTGCCATACTATTGATGGACACTATGCGAAGCGTATCTGGGTAGATATATGAAAACTGAAAATTAAAATTTTGCGATAGGAAAGAATTTGATTTTAATTGTTATTTTACGAGTATTGCTTGCAGAAAATAACATGCTGCATATTTGATTATAATTGATAGCCGTTAAATTTATTTTACATTATTAATTAACGCGCCCTGCCGCACAAATTGCAGTGGCCTCGGCCTGGCCTGTTTTAGGCGCTCTCACATTAATATTAATTTAATGCTTTTTCACAGCACCTAATTTTTGTATTCCACAATTTTGTAATGAAGAGTGTGATGCGGTATTTGTTTTAACAAATAGGCTACAGTAAGTATTTAGGAATCACATAAATTTTGAACAATTTAAAGCAAAAAGGAGTTTGTTAAAATTTTTATATTTCATTGTCCTGTTTGGTAACAAATAAAATCCAGTTCTCAGGGTAGGGGGAAGGTTGGGACACTTTTTTTCTTTTGCATATTTTGAGCCCTTTATTCTGCACATTCATATAACTTTGCGGGATCAATGCAGAGAGGGGTAAATTTAGTTTTTATTCAGCGACTAAGAAATTCTCTTGCGACACACATCTCACCATCAAAATGCTTTGAAAAACGTTTGTCAAGTGTCCCACTGTACCCCACTTGTGGGGCACATTCGGACAGACCCTGGGGCACAATGGGTCATTCTGTCAAAATTCAACGAAGTATGCCTATAAAAATAAGCAATTTATCAGCATAATCGTCTAAAGCAGTGGTTCCCAAACTTTTTTGACCATCGCCCCCCTACAGTACTTTATACAACCTCATCGCCCCCCGGCACTACAAAAAAATGTAAAGTCAAAAACGAATATATTAGAGACCGAATAAGAAGACAAATCATAGTTTATAGTGTTTTTTAATGATATTGATGAGCTTGGTGTTCTTCAGCGAGTTTTTTATTATATATATATGTCTTGTTGCTGCATCACGCTTGATAGCTTTACGACGCCAAGATGGGAAGATTTTCTAAATGGGCATCACTAATCCCAATTCTTTGCTTGTTCTTTGTAATGTCTCCATTTTCGAAAAACATTGTTTGCACAAATATGTACTTCCAAACATCTAAGTGAATATTCTCGCATGATTTGTGAAATTTTAATGAAGATTTTCTTCAAGAAGATACATTCTTACAAAAATTACGCACTGATGAATCAATCTCTCGAATAGAATATGAATTTTATTTCCTTATAGCATTGCAATATATTCGAATATTTACTGCATGCGCTATTGAACCCCTGTCCTCAGCATCAACTTTTTTTTTCTTCGTGTTTCCATTTGTCTAATTATAATTAAATTGTAGGCTCGTTAAAAGAGTAGCTAGCTGTTCAATAGAATTTTTTAGGATATAATAAAATTTAGTCTAAACGTGTCTCACGATAAATTCTGTTACGTAAAAAATGTAGTTTAGTCCTCGAGCGTAGATTATAAATAAAAAAATAAATTCATCGTCAAAACCGCCGTTCGGATTTTTCCCCGGGCATATACTTCCTTGTTTACATCGTGACATTGGCCAATCAGCAAGATGCAAAAATAAACGTAACAATACCCCCTTTCGCATCCGCTCAGACACACTCACTCAGACAGACTTTCAGGCGTGGTCGTGAACATTCCCTCATTTTCGCGTTTTTGAATTATATTCCTTAGTTTTTAGTTGTTTTTCGGAAATTTAAATATAAGTCAATGATTACTTTGTTTTCCTATGAGTTTCAGTTTAAATACAGTAATCAAAAATTGGTGTGGAAATAGCTGTGATAGACTATAGGCTAAAATTCTTCATCGTTACTTTTAAAAAACAGATTGTTGAATGGTATGAATTAGAATGATAGTTTGAAACAAATACCCTATTTTACAACCAACAACTCGCGAAACCACTCTTAAAATAAGCACCGAAAATTTTAAAATGGTAAAGTATAGGAAGAATTTTCGGGGATAGGTCTATTCAGTGAATCGTCCCGGTCGAGATTTTTTTACTCCGGCCGTATTTTGCCGACCACTGGGATACGCAAACTACCGTACCTTACTGCGGAGACGAGTCCAGCAATCCTTTCGCGTGTGATAATAGACCACGTGATTCAAGCCTGCGAATGCACACAGAGTACAGAATTAAGTGCACAATGCGCCGAGCAAAAACAGGTTTCGCGAAATCGCCCCCCTATCGCCCCCTTCGACTTTTTCGCCCCCCTCTGTATCGTTTTCGCCCACCGGGGGGCGATATCGCCCACTTTGGGAATCACTGGTCTAAAGAACAAGGAGACCTCAAATTTGAAGATTTAAGATTTTTAAAATCAATGTTCAAACGAAATATTTCAGATATTTTACCAAATAATTCGCATACAAAATAAATTATTTTCTAAACCAAATCTAAATCTGGAAATATTTTTGATTTTCGAATATATTTCATATTGGACCATGAGTCGAAAGATACCATAATGTTACATAAAAATATAACGCATCTCTAGGTCTCTAAGCACTTGTTGTATCAAACACTGTCGAATTGTGCCATGTAGGGCATGTCCCACTGAACCCCGGTCCATTGTTCCCCATAATAAACAAATATCTTCAGATCATCCCACGGCGAAATTCGGAAGGCACATCCACTCGCCAACGTTATAAATATTTCACAGTGGACTATAGCTGAAAGATATCAGACGGTGGTTTGTCACGTTGAAAAGGCTAAGTTAGAAAAGAGAAAAAACTGGAACGGTGAAATTTTAGTTTCAACCCCCAAAACCAATTTCACCTCATAGCTTGCGTCCCTCTACCCGTCCGCTGTCTGTTTGCGGGGACGTTGTTACTCACCGAAGGGCGGGTTGAAACATCAAACCGCGGACCGGATTCCAAATATAGTATTAGAGTGAGAGCTGATTTTCCACTGTGCCCCATGTCCCAACGTGCCCCACCTTCCCCTATTTTCAATTGAATACAAAGGTAGTAGTACATTCACAATTTTGCTTTTCTAAATCGTAATCCATAAATATGGCGTGAGAATTCCCACATTTGAATACCAATAAAAATAGAATACGATCCGGTATTCTAGAATAGTAAATTATTCTACATTGCCCATTCCTAGCCGTAACCGACCAGCCGTTACGTGAACAGCCCTACGGCCAGCAATCCTCTGGCATATAATATTGCCCACGGGATAAACAAGAAAACATTCCACAAATTTAGGAATACCGCCATGACATAGAACAGTGTTTCTTAAACCTGGTTTTGATCGAACTACTGAGGACTTCGGGTTGCCAACTTAGTGTTAAACCGTTCCAGGGCACCTTAATATCTAGAATTTGAAAATTGATGCAACAGAAGCTTGTGAAACATAAAAAACACCAAAAGCAACAGTGCGCGCTGCGCGTCAAAGTGTGATGATCGTGCGAAACTCCAAGCCTCTAAATAATTTTATCATAATCAAAGACACTTATGAAGTGTTGAATCTTTGAGGCATAAATGCAAAAAAAAAACTAAAACAGGGAAAATGTACAATTTGTGCTAAGTAGATTTATTTATTAAACATAAAACACAAAAAAATCAGTCTTACACGTATATATATATATTTAAATTTGCATTTTTCTTGTGATTTCGCCGCTTCAAGAATATATTTGTCTTTGCTAATAAACTCATTGCTTGACATGAAAGTTCAATTTCATCATCAGTACAGCTTTGACGAGATTAAAGTTTAGTTTGTTTCTACTGTTGGTCCAAAGCGCATTCATAACTGTGGGCACACAGTTCTTCATACAATTTATCGCAGTCGAGACTATGCCCAAGCGTCCAACAAGTGACAAGTCTGACCATTCAATGTCATCTTCAAGTGCAAGTGGGGTTACTTCATTGAAAAACGAATGCTCATAATCATACCATTTAGGTTATTATGACAAACTGAAAAAAACTGGTCAACTTCTTGCGTAAATTTTTGTTTATCAGAGAAGTTGACTTCGACAAGATTTAAGAAGTTTTGTATCATTACTTCCATAAAACTTGTTTTCACATCGCTGCTCTTTTCCTTAACACTCAGCATTATTCCATGCAGTTTTGTGGCAGTAGTAGCATTTGATTCGAGCCGTTTAAATAATGGCTTCTTCAAAAATATTCATTACATTATGTACAAAATTTAAAACAAATGTAGCAGTATGTCAAGACATTTTTCACAAAAAAAAACTGTTGATTTCAGCGCTGGCCAAAAAAATAACAGTTCATCAAGGATCAATAGCAGGTAGTAGATTTAGCCACCTTGTAGTATATATATGTTTTAATAACTCTTTATATTCTATATCGACGAAATTACAAATGTCTCTGCGAGCTTCAGATTTCTTCGCCGATGATGCAAACGAATTACAAATTTTAATAACAAATGACTCCACTTCAAAGGCAAAAGCCTCTAGCGGTCTAGCCTAAAGCGTATTTCACACAGTTGTACGTTGAGAACATGGTAGTTGCAATTCGCCTGTATAATATAAGAATATTTCAGTTTCTGTTGAACTGAAGAATGTTTACCGTAATTACTACCGTACTACTATCACTGTAGATCAGGGGTCGGCAACCTTTTGTCGCTCGCGGGCCAAAATCAAGGGTTGCAAGTCATTGGCGGGCCGCTCATATTTTTAGAAAGTTTAAAACCGAACGGATGATACTTTTTATAATAAAAATCAAGCAGGGAATAGAATATAAATTTATTTCCTCGTTGCATTACATCTAAAAAAATTCCATTTGAATATTTTCGGCGCCATTAAACCTTTTGCACTTGGCATCAACTTTTCTGCGTTTGTTGCCATTTTTCTAATTTTAATTAAATTATAAGCACATTAAACGAGTAATTGAGAATTTTATATTTGTTGGATTTATAATATAATTTAGTCTACACGTGTCTTACAATGAATTCGGCTACGTAAAGAATATAACCGTCAAAACAGCTGTTTTTCTGCTATAATTCCGTGAAGCGTCGCGGGCCGGATCCGGCCTTCTGCTTTTACCCATTCTGAACGGGGAAAAATATATTTTTGGAAGTTTTTTTTTCGGCAGAGTTTGTGCCAATGTATCCTCAACATTACATTTTACAATCTACACCATAATCACTTTGTTCAACAAACTCGGTTTGTGAAGATGACAAGGAATTATAAATTTTGGCGCTCCAGAAGTATGTGCATCAAAAAGGCGGACACCGGAACGTCGTACCGGCCTAACCCTAACCTGGTACACATATGACGTTTTGGTGTCCGCCATCAGAACGTAAATCTTTAATATCCTTCACTGCTAAAGTGAACATTCAGTGATTTGAATGGTATTTTCCACAGGCGAATTTTAATCTTAATTCAAAGCTGCAATTACTGCTTTATCAGTTTTTCAACAGTTGTTTTCCAGAGCATCGATTTCCTTGTTCATTTCTGTATTCCGTGATTGTTTCGAACCGCATAGTTTGCTGACTTTTTCATTGTTTTGCATTTTACTGGGCATAAACATTATGTATCTCCACTAAAAATATTGCACCAAATGACAACTATTGAATTTTCTAGATTGTGCAGTGTTGCCTTGTTCTTCTTCTAAGTGTTTGCATATTATATCTTGAATCGATTTAAAAGGTATTGGCCGATTTTGTATCGTCTGTGTTTATTTATTGTGTGCTTTAACTTGTTTCGATGGATGGATTTTTAACGTTGTCCTAAGACCTAAGTTATGCTCGTCTTCCATTTTGTTTTATGCCAGAGCGACCAAATCAATTGTCTTCGCGATAGTTATTTAAATTAATTTCAGTGTGACATCGTTTCAATTTATAATTAGGCATAAAGCGCGCAAATTCCAACAATTTTCAGTGGGTCGTTTTGTAGCTTACATTTAGAAATATCAAATCGGGTTTAGTGTATTATTTTTATGGGGAGTATTTACTACCTAGTATCTAGGTGATTTTTTTTGTGTCTTTGAAAGATGTTTCCTACAGCTATTTACTTATTTAGGTATATATATATATATATATACAATCTAGAATCCCAGACCCAGATTTTGCAGCATCCAAATATTTAAAATCAACTTCATTTATATATATGATATGTGGGGTAAATCTGGGAATCTTTCAATTAGCATAATTGGACGGAAGAAGTCGCTAGAAGTCTATTACATTTAATTTATCTACACAAATTTTGTTAGTATTTCGTGTGGGTTCTCCACAGATCCCTTCAGCAATTATGTGTTTTTTAAGTATTACCCGATTCTGAATCGCGTTTTCGCATGCTTGTATTATTATTTTGGTGGGCGGGCGCGTACTTTTACGTTTTTCAACTTTATTTTGAGTTATGCTCGCCTTCCAGGTATCTCTGCATTTTGTTTGTCCCACTTTCATTTGTTTGTTCCACTTTCATCACGTTTGTTCATTCATCGACGACTATGGGGAGTCTTTATTTCACGCGAAAGTAACACAGGCGCGGCGACGTCTTTATGATAATAATGTTCAACAGAAGTTTGGAGGGTTAATTTACAAAGAGTGTGTGTTCAAAACCGAGAATCTAAGCAGGTATGCTTCATCAGATTTTGAAGCAGCTATGGAATAGAGAAAATTAAACAGGAGCAAATGCTGGATAAGGTTTTGGTGAATATACGTCCTACTCCTAGGTCAGTTATCCTCCACCAAATTTGGTCATGGCAAGGACGTATGACAAAACTTGCATTTTATGCTGGTTACACTAATAATGCATCAAAATAGATATTCTAAGAGAAGCTGTTACCAGAATGACGAGCATTAAGCAATAGTTTTAACGGACTAACCTAACCAAACCTACTGAAATCTTGAACTTGTGATATGACAAATAATTTATTTTCATGTACATTTGAGCAGTAGGCAACGCTCGGGTATAGGAGTCCACATCATGTCTTATGTATGAATAAAGCAGATAGTTATTATGACATTGCTGGAGCGCGTCATAAATATTCTTTGTCCAATTGTGTATTTTTGGATCAGCTTTCAAAGCGGCTTGTAGTCAAGTTTTGTTTCCAACTTTTTATTTTCAGCAATCTTGCGAACAGCTTTCATAAAGTCTTCTTGTATCACATACTCCCGTTCAGCACGGATGGCAAATAATCCTAATAATAGGAGGATTGAAAACAGATTTTATGTTTACAGCCTCGCTTTCTGAAATACTACTTACGTATATTCACTATACTTCTCGAACTATTATACCTGGTCGCATTTAAACATGCAGCACACTAAAATTTAAACATGACAGTGATGATGCTAACATAAAATGGTATCAAGACTAAAGTAAAATAGAAAATAAATTTAGAGTTCAAATACCTGCTTCAGTGCAAACATTCCTCAAATCAGCACCATTGAATCCATCCGATAACTTAACAACAGCCTCATAATCTAGTTCACCATGTTTAGTTATTGGAGCAGCATGAATTTTCAGAATATCCATTCTTCCCTGAATAATGATGATGAAGGCGATTAAATATGTAAATATAGCATGGTGGCAATAAATATACCAGAACATTTCTGCATACCTGCTCATTTGGAAGCTCAATTTGAATCTTTCTATCCAATCTTCCTGGTCTGAGTAAAGCTGGATCAAGAGTATCTGGTCGATTCGTGGCCATAATCATTTTCACCTTAAATGTAACAAGTTTGTTAACCATTTTCACTTTAGGCATAAAAATTTTTAATATAACAGTTTCACATAAGTTCACTTTAAAAAACATACATAAAATATATACGGTACTAATAAATTAAACTGTAAATCATATGAAGGCAAGGATCATCACTAAAATAGTAATTTTTGTGTAATTTAAGTCTTTCAGAAAATATGAAAGTATCTCAAATTCAACCAGAATTAGTATTTCACAACTCTCTTCAAGATTATTCATTTATGGTAAACCTAAATGAGCGACATACTTGACCCAGTGTATCGAAACCATCCATCTGATTCAAAAGTTCCATCAATGTTCGTTGAATTTCCCGATCTGCACTTGTTCCTTCAGAAAATCTTCTTCCACCGATAGCATCAATTTCATCCATGAAAATAATGCACGGTTGGTGATCACGAGCATAATTAAACATTTCTCGGATGAGTCTAGCAGATTCTCCAATGTATTTATCAACAATTGCAGAAGATACCACCTATTTTTGAGAACGTTTATAATTTTAACATTGTTGCATAGTTATATGATAAAAGAAGAGTTTCATTATATATTACATCAGGACTTCCGGTGCTAAGCTAATGTACTTTGAGTTGACTAATATTTGAAATCATGCTAACCGTAGTCAGAAATATTTCAAGTTTCATATCATCAGATTATTTTACCAAATGGGCGTGTTTTCCTTATTACAGAATTATACCATAATTTACAATTTCATCGTTTTCCTCAATTCACAGAACAAACCTTCAAAAAGTTAGCATCAAGTTGACTGGCAACGGCTCTCGCAAGTAACGTTTTTCCTGTTCCTGGTGGTCCATATAACAAACAACCTTTAGGTGGAGTAATTCCAACTCTCACAAACAATTCAGGATTAAGAAGAGGCAATTCGATGACCTATTATAATGTCAGAAACATTAAAACCATGATAAAGAGCTCGCTACTAATTTAAGAAAATCGAATACACAAAATTTAATTGAATAATTCCTTCTGAATTAGCAAGGGTTCCTAAAAATTATCAGTAGAGGTTATGCAAGTCTAACTTCCAATCCTTCCTCAATGCCTTTGCACTAGTGGATTCGTATGCGTATAATGCAAGGATGCGGCAGGAGGAAGAAATATATCATACTATGCAATTCAAGAGTCCTGCTGGCTGCTGCACAGTAACACAAATGTATTTCCGTGACATTTCGTCTAACCAAAAAAGTTCCTAAAAAAGTTTATTTGTTTAATTTTTTATCAGATGTTTTCTTATAGTCTTATATAAATTAGACTGTTGTATATATTTCAGCACCTATTATAACATTATATAATAGCCATAAAAAGCACACAGGTAACCAATGCAATGGTACTTTTTATCTCAAAGAGCAATTAAGAGTTTTGACACATGAATAAAACAAAAATTGGTTTATCATCCACCTCTCGTAATTGTCTGATTTGTTCATTTAACCCTCCAATCTCAGAATATTTCACATCTCCTGGGTCTTCATGTGACATGTTATAAACTAAAGGATCAACCTCACGTGGAAGATATCTAAAAAGAAATCATGCGCATCATACAATCAAAAAGCACTACTTACAGGACAAAACCATCGGCATAATTTTATTAGAACTATAGACCAAATATGGTTGTTGAAAAAAAATGTCAGCCTATGAATTTCGTTACCATTGGGAACTTCTATTAAATACTATTAAATAAAAAACTGCAATCAATCAGGCCAAAACCTAAAAAAGGTTTCGCAAACGATCAGGGGGTGGAAATAAAACAAGCAAAGCCTCTTCTTGATAAACATTCTGAATCTATATCTAAGTATATCTTATCCAAGTAGTAGCAAAATTTACATAAACTTATAATTAAAATTAAATTAAAAAATATATTAATCAAGTGGACTATATGGATGCAAAAATTTTCTGGCATTCGCGCATACTTATGTTGAAAACGACCATAATACCTCATGATTGTCAATGTTGTCATATCAAGAGCAACTCTAGTCCCTGGTTTCAACTTTGCTTTGTCTACTTGTCGCCTGCACCCAACAACATATCTTGGACCATTTGTTGCCTTTACAATGACTGGAAAATAACAATTTCATGTGAAAAAATTAGAAAAAAACATTTTTCAGCAATAGAAATTAGGTCAGCATCACATGTTAATGACATTGGATCGCAAACCTACAAACACATACAAGGTGTGATTCGATTGGGTTTTCTGACTGGGGTTTTCAGAAATAGTAGCTTCTTTACATAAACAAAGCTGCTTGTATAGCGCCTTGTTCAGGTTGAAGGTTATCAAAAGGCCTCATAAATGTATACACTCAAACTTATAGGCTACGTAAAATATTCAGTAATCAGGTAAAGCAAAAACTATAATACTTACATTTTTCTTCTGTTAACTGCTTCAAAATTTCACCAACAATCTGTCCAACACTTTGCAGAGCCTTTAGGTCATTTTCAGATTTGTCATATTGTTTTGTTCTGTCCTTTAATTCATCTCTTTCTATTATATCATATAAAAATATTTGTGATGATAATACAGTAACAATGCAATATTTTGCAATAATACCGTACATTACAGAATATAACATACTGTCACATGCTTCAAACCAAGACTTGAAGGATCAAATTTTTGATTGTCTACCAGTAGGAATTCAAATACGAATCTCTCAAATTCCAGCAGATTTGTAGTGGCTGTCATTAGATTATTAGGTCAAAAATATCTGAATAAACCTGTGCAGAAATCTCAGGCTTATTCACAAATGACAGAATGCTGAAGTTAGCTGGTCAACAAAGCAATGACGCAGCAACATTTGAACATTCTTCGGTCTTGTTGTAGTTTGTCACAATGCTAATTAAAATATCCGTCGAATCGTTGAAGTTGAAAAAATTTAGAAAGGCCCATACATCTGTACCATTAAATACAATCAGACAAGATTAAAATGAAACAAACCCAGAAACCATACCGTAACAGGGTAATCGATTGAAATGTTTTTTAAGGTTACGTATAATTCAGACACAAGTTACTTTACTTACTGGATCTTAGTAACCCATCAATTTCTTTATGTTCCAATAATTTTTTCCTGTAATCAGTCAATATCTGATCCCGTGCATCCATAACTCTTTTTGGTTGAAGAGTAGCGGCTTGGATCATAAATTACAAAGCTAACTCAATGCACGTATTACTCAGCAAATTACAGTCTGTCTTATTCATGATATCAGGTCGTTGTTGGAGTCAAGTTTTATAGTTACTGCAAATTTAAAAGGCGTTTTGGGTGCAACTTTTCAACCTTTTTTTTTATGCGGCTCTTAATAACTTTGAAGTTTGAGATGCGACGCAGACACTGTAGAGAATCTCTGGTATAGACAAAAAGAGGATGAAACTTACCTGCGGCGATGCTTCTTCGATGTAGCGTAATTTTGATGGCCAAAACCGAATACCTATAACTATTCAGAATATGCTCTGGAAGGATATTTTTAAATATGAAATCTACTCTAAGCCGTAAACAGCTTTATTTTGCAAATTACAATATTCTGTATATCTTTGCCTTCGTCATATTTGAAATAGAGGTCTTGCACGGGTCACGTGACTTTGTTACTGGACGGCAATAAAACAAAAACGTCCATTTGGCACCTGTCAGTTGCAAGTGGATTATACGTTTCCGTTTTGTTTGGCTGTTGAAAATGGTTATTTCGTATTGTTCCGTTGGCTGTACGTATAGTATAGACAACGAAATGGATCTTCAGTTATATTCCACTGTTTTCAAAAGATCCGGAACGTCGCGCAATGTGGATATCATCTATTGGCAGGACTGCTTGGTGTCAGGTCCAGAAGCCATCTCACTTGTGTTTCACTGTTTGCGGACAGCACTTCGTTGATGGCGAGTCATCATGTGCCGTTATCAAATTTTTAAATATTCATAAGCTCCCTCATTTTAATGGAAAGCAGATGACAAACTACTGTTATTGGTAGGCCTAGGCGTAGGCCTACTTGCAGACTTGACTCGTGTAAGGTATTAATCAATAATTGCCATAAGGTATTGTTTTCCTAGTTAGCAGGTAATCTATCAGTAAGTGTGAAAAGTTGAATAGATGAATAAAGTTTAACGCCAGTGCTAATGCAAAAAAATAACCAGAATTCAATTGAATTCTCCATCTAAGAATACGCTCGCCACCGCATCTCTGATCCCCCTGGGAGTTTCACAGGTTCCAATCCCATGCGGGGATAGTTATGTGCGAGGGGATTGCAGCTCTCCTCCCACTGAGGGTGGTTCACACGACCGCTGGTCGATTACGACATCCCCCACCATCAAGTATATGCCTCTAAAACAAATAACTGGCTAACTAATCCCGACATAGAATGGTAATCGTACGATGTTGCACCTTGCAATCTGGCCCCAACTACAGATAAATTCTATCCTGAAAACTACCCACATTGGTAAGCATAGTTGCGTTTCAAATTGAAAGAAATCTTCATTAATGGTCAGAAGGTGTTGTCTGATTGTTTTGTTAGTTAGCAGGTAATTTATTACTGATCTGATACACAAACTTGGCACTGTCAATTGATGATTAGTGTTTCTTTATTTTTCAAATATAATTCATAATTACTGTAAAGTGTGTAATATATTTGGTACCATGAATACTATTTGCAAATTAGCTTGGGTTACACCCCTCTCAAATAAAAGTTTAGACTCTTAAGTCATATCTCATAATATTCTTTAAACAAAAGGTTGCGGCTAGTCGGCTACCCATCAGAATTTCCTTTCAGATCACAAAGTCGCAATATTACGCCTCGCTAAGTTTCATTGGCAACTGTATCTGGTTGTAGTATCGGTGTCCAACTTTAGACTGAAACCTTCACTACCAGACCCACCGAAACAATTTTTTTTCTTGATAGGGTAGTCTTGAAGTTGCTTTTGTTAAAGCACAATGGACACTTTATCTCCACCAATCCACAGTAATCACAAGTTACTTTGTCATTACGATAGGCATCAATAAATGGATACTGAGGATGTATTATCAAGTCACGCAAGCTGAGGTCTTGTGCCACTGTGGTCTTGTTGCAACTTATACTTTGCCATCCATCTATTCCATGGTCGCACCCAGATAATGAATCCAGATAGAGTTTTCATAAAATCTAACGATCAAGGAGTGCGAAATTTAGGTCCATATCCCACCACAGCCACTAGTCGTAAATGAATTTGATTCCGGGTAGCATACCTTTTTTACCAATGACAATAAAAAGACATTTTGGATCAGTTCAGTTCAATCGGGGGGAGCCAGTTATTTGTTTTCAGAAGCATGGACTTGGATGGTGGGGAATGGTCGTAACCGATCAGCGGTCATGTGAACCACCCTCGGTGAGAGTAGAGCTGCAATCCTCTCTGGGATTGAAACCTGTGAAACTCCCATGGTGATCAGAGATGCGGTGGCGAGCGTATTCCTAGATGGCGAATTCAATTGAATTCTGGTTATTTTTCGCATGACCGCATAGTTATCTATTCAACCTTTCACACTTAGTAATATATTACCTGCTAATTAGGGAAACAATACCTTATAGCAATTGATTATTAATTCCTTACTGTCTTACACAAGTCAAGTCTGCAACTGCAAGTAGGCCTACTAATAACAGTAGTTTGTTATCTGCTTTCCATTGAAATGAGGGAGCTTGTGAATATTTAGATAAATTGATAACGGCACACTATCACCACATTATCACTCACCATCAACGAAGTGATGTCCGCAAACAGTGAAACACATGTAAGATGGCTTCTGGACTTGACACCAAGCAGTTCTGCCAATGCAATAGATGATATCCACATTGCGCGACGTTCCGGATCTTTTGAAATCAGTGGAATATAACTGAAGATCCATTTCGTTGAACAGCCAAACAAAACGGAAACGTATAATCCGACTTGCAACTGACAGGAGCCAAATGGACATTTTTGTTTTATTGCCGTCCAGTAACAAAGTCACGTGACCCGTGCAAGTCCTCTATTTGCATGCATTTGATCGTATTTTTTTTATGATTTGATGAACCTATGCTTTGCCCTGCTAGGTTGATGCCAAATTTAGGTCTAAAAATCGACAATTTGCAAATTCAGATATTTGAAAATGTTCCAAAAATCAAAGAATCTACTATATCGAACATAATAAACTTCTAATATGTTTGAATATTCAATTCGCTTTGAATATCCTGATTTGGGGCTTTCATTTTCATCAACTGCTCATACTATACAAATCAAATATATTCTAGTAGAGTGTTTCCAGATTTAGTGTGGTTTATATTTTGCTATTAACCATAAAACTATTTGTAACCTATAAAAATGTGTTATTATATGTATTTGGCTGACCATCTGTAGAGTCTTCAGCTGGTGCTCCCGAAGTATGCGCACCAAGATGTTGCATAGCCTGAACACTAACCTGGTACAGGACCTTAGTTCAGGCTGAGCGCCATCTTGGTGCGCATACTTCAGGAGGTCCCTTCAGCTGATCCCGAAAATCGTGAGCGAGGTGCGCTCTAGCGCAATTTATATGTTTGGCTCGGGTACGACAGAACCAGACATTGAGATTGCTACGCAAAATATTGAGTCAGGCGATAAAATGTGGCAATTCAATTGATACCGCAGAAATGAGAGAGAAGCTGTACACTGCATAACTATATACCGGTATCTCTAGGCCAGGGGTGGGCAGCTTCTCTAGTCAGTTTAATAAACTTATACTTTTCCTGTATTCACTAATGCCAGAATGCTGTGTCTGGGAATAGATACACTGCCTATGTTCTTATATTACTTAGTTCGAAAGTAGTGGATTAGGATTTATATATTTATCCCGGGGGAGAGGAAAGCCGATAAGACGGCTTAATCATATGGAGAACCACGGTCTTTCGTCCGGTACCGGTACCAGTAACCAGTCCAGGTCGAGTATGGGATTAGTTAGCCAGGTACGGTATTTGTTTTCGGAAGCATGGACTTGATGGTGGACGAAGCCATAACCGACCAGCAGTTGCGTGAACCACCCTACGGCGGCGAGGAGTCCAGCAATCCTCTCGCACATGATCATCCCCGCATGGGATTCGAACCTGCGATCCCACGAAGGGTAATCAGAGATGCGGTGGCGAGCGTATTCCTAACGCTCAGCACGATGCACCACACCGCCGAGCCCGAGGCGATATCACTTATACAGTAGACTGGTTGCCAGTGAGATAGACTATATATTCAGATATTTGTCTGACATTTTGCAGAGTTGGCAGTCAGAATCAATTTGCAGTTAGTTCATACCATAATTTTCAGAATTATAGACTAAAATTAGAAATTATAAAACTCACCCAGACAATCTTTCAAGTACAAGTTTGCAAGTGGAGCTAAAACATACTCAGATTTCTGTATTTGGTACTTGCAACATGGAATATGATGACCAAGGATCAGATGATGTTATTCAGGGAGAAGTTCATGATGGCACAGGGGTAAATGAAGATATTGAAAGCGTGGAACTACAAAGCTATGGAAATGAAAATATTGTAAGCTATTTGTGTAATTTTCATTGTTCAGTTGTTCATTACCAGTAATAGTCTATGATTGAATATTATGATTTATAGTGGCTATTTCAGTATTAATATATATACTTTCTATTTAACCTGTTAAATAGCAGAATGGCTCTAGTGTTGGTGCCAAAGTATTGTGGTATTAGAGGTCTGGAGGTGGTAATATCGACAACCGTATTAATATCAAAAAATGAAGTCTTAGAGTTGTAACTTTGATAGCTTAATCTAACTGTTGACAAAATTCTCTCAAAAACAGCGAAGTCAACAAGCAAAATATTTACAAATGATGCAAATCCTGAAATCGCCAACTGCAGGGTTAATGAGCTGAAACCTGGCATAAGATCGGATTAGTATATCTTTTAACACATTCCGGCTTTCTTTTAATCAACGCTTAAAGGAGGGGGTGTTTAAAATTTGATTTTTTTCATTCGTTAACTTTTTGGCGTTAATTTTGCGATCACTGTAATTAACACAAAAGAACTTTATCTCCTGTCAAGTGACATCATATCGAATCCTATGATGAGACTGGGGTTGCCAACTATGAAAAGTTTCAATAAAGGACATAGATTACCGTCATCACTTATTTTGTAACTTGCAGGATAGAACAATATAAAACAATGAGATAAAAATTATATACAAGCTAAAAAAAATATTAAAACAATCTTCATGTGCTTTCATTTAATGTTCATTTAATTGACCCAAACAATGTTAATAGAATTGTTATTTCTTTGGTTATTCGAGCCGGACCAAAGTGAAATTAAAAGCTTGCAAATACATATAAACGGTGGCAATTTTTTAAGAATGGAACAATATCAAAAACAGTACTATAACTATCGGGCAAAACAACGTTGGAAAGAATAAAGGACAATTAGCATCTTTTTTGAATGCTAAAAAAGGACAAGGACCGAAAAGCCTAATTAAAGAATTGTTGACTTTTAGTGGGCTAACCTTGGAATAGCAAATTTGAGGTGCATCATGTACTGACAATTTTGGACTATCTATATTGTGGAAATTGTGAGGCTATTAATGCTAGTTTCGATTTTTAAGCACTGGGAATGAGTTTTTTTTTCATCAAGCAAATGCTTAGCAAAGACAGTCGCACTCATTGAAGTTTTTAAATTATTTGATTTATCCAGCAATTCAAATTGAATCATAATATACAGCTATATTTTAAATAGCCCATGGCCCATCCTCTAGGAACTGCTGGACTGTTGTATATTTTCAATTGTAATACACTTCTGGATTCAAAAAAAATTCTGCCTAGTAATTTTCTGTCATTTTCATATATAATAAATTTATTCACTGATCCGGAAAAGTCACTCAGTCAACTTTTGTAAATGATTTACAAAATATGAAATTTGTGCGAGAATGCCAATTTCATTTGAAAGACAATTTTTTGCATATGCATTTTCTTCGGTTGAGTCTTTATGAATCTTCAGTTTTAAGTTAGGATTGAATAATTTTTACATCTTTCTTAGCTCAGATTTGATTATTAATAAACAGTAACGATCTAGGTCACATTTCTACTTACTACCTAACTGTGTCTGATTTTGTCAAGACTTTCTTTTTTACTCCATTCAATATGTTATTTAGCTTTCTTTATTGAATATATTTAAAAGTCTCATCCTATTTTCAAATCCTTCCTATTCCTATTATTTCACTATTTTATCGTAATCTTCAGGAGGAACAAGAGATCCAGAATGAAACAGAACTAGAATACCAAGAATATGATGGAGATGCCAATGATGCAGAAAATAACGAAGTTGGCGAAGAAGAAGAATTTCAAGATATTGCTCAAGAGGAAGTAGCTGAGGAAGAGGAAGTATCTCACCAACAAGAAGAAATTTTGGATCACGAGGAAATTCCTCAAGATGAGGACAGTAATAAGGAACAAGATGAGGCTGTTGAGCATCAGCAAGTTGCTGGAGAACAAGAATATGTGGATGATGATTCTATAGAAATCGAACAACAAGAAGATCAGGTACATGCAACTGATGAAATGCAAGAAGCTAATGATGATAAAGTTGAGAATCCGATAAATGAAGCAGGAGATGACTCTAATGATGTGCAAGTAGAAACAACTCAAGCTACTCAAGGGTAAGTTTGATAATATGTTATTTTAACCTATTTGTTGAGAATAATTTGAATTTTAGCCCTATTTCTCATCTTTCTTGGTGTATGAAAATGAGTTGGACATGCTGGTAGAAACATTATTATCAAGAATATTGTAGGAGATATTGTTATGAAGATCATAAGTATGTCAAAACTTTGTTTACCTTTTATCTCAGTGTTCAAAACAACAATTTATTGAACTAAACATGCTTATATTGATTATTTTATGTTGGATCACCTAATAATAGTTGAGTCATTTTTGTGATTAAGTACATACCCATCCATTTCATTCACTACTGGTCAAAAAAAAGTCTGGTTCAATTATTTTTAAAATGTTTTCCTTATTTGTGATGCGTAGAGACAGTGATGAAGAAGATTTTGATAATGTTGTTGAAGTTGAAGAAGACAAAGCAGAGAGTGATGCAGAAGATAATGTTGCTCAACATGTCAGTGACAGTGAAAATGAAGATGAAAATAAAACAAATGATAAACTTGGCGAAGTTTCAGAAGATGATCTTAGAGGTGGAATGAAATATAATAATATTTCTGCATCCTTTCCTTTTTGAACATTACACTAGATCAGGGATCTTTAAAATTGGGGTTCCGACCCTGTGGTGGGTTGCAAATGGGCTCACTAGGGGTTGCGGCACCAATTATTGTCAGAACTATCCATACTTAGACTTCTTCCTTTTGCATCCACTCATCTGTGAAAAAAAACTTATGTTACAACAAAATATTGATCAAATTTGAAAGATTTGGAATCAGTAACCCACGATCCCCAAAATAGAGCCATCGTTCAATCTTTTGTGCGAGAATATGCAATCACATTGGTCTAATTAAAGTTATCATACTGGGGATTTTGAAAAAAATTTCGCTATGCCAAGTGAGTCGGCGTCGCGATGAATAAAGGTGGAAGAACACTGCACTAGATCATACTCGATAAGATGTATTAAGCTATTTTCAAGAGAAAGTTGAAATTCTGCCTCATTTCATGAATTCATTCGATTTTTTGTGAATTCTATGAACACTTGGCTTTGTAGGTCTTTTTTTAGACAAAGTCATGTAAGAATTGATTGAAAACAAACTCAATCATTCAACAAAAACATTGTTAGAGGTAAATCCATGCATGATTGCTCTCAAAGAATTGTTCTAATTTAAATATGTTGTAAATAAAAAAGCTAAATCGATTCATTCCCCTCTATCTATCAGCAATCATCTCTTCATTGCAGGATATGATATATATTCAAAGAATTTGTAAATGATATAAACACCTTTCGATGGAAGTTAAGTATATGACATCAACACATGTAATTAAAATACTGTAACTGATTAGATGTCACATAACCTACATAAAAGATTAAATGCTGAATATGTATCATTTTTTGACATTTCTAGGGGCCTCTTCTGGTTCAGAGAATGAAAGGAGTGATGCTGAAGATACTAATATTTCACCAACGAAAAAAAGATCTGCTGTGTTGTCATCAGATGATGAAGAAGATACAGGTTTGTCAATTTGTTTGAATAATTCAATTACCGGTACTGTATGTCATAGGGATAATTTAGGATATTTTCATTTGAAAAATTGTCATAACTAGCGTATGACGTATCATGGTTTAAAAATAATATATAGGCCTATATACTTCATAAGAATTGTCCATATGAAAAATTAAAAAAAAAATGATTACATCAACATCATCAGCGTTGAAGCAGGGACAATATGTAGGCAGTATATATTCTGCATCACTAAATTCTAATACAATGAAATCTTATAGTTTCTCTAAACAGATTTAATATTATAATACATTTGATATTAATAATTTCAGAATGTATTTGGAATAGTAATTTTGGGGATTTAGGCGATCCCTTATTTTATATTACATATGGCATGAAATTGAGAATGAAACAAGTTTTCTAACCTGGCTTGAGAAATAGAGAGACAGATAACTAATTGTCTTTATTAACAGAAAAAAGCATGAAAGAAAAACATGAAGCTGCAATGAAAATGTTTGACTCAGACAGCGACAATGAACAAAAAGGTGGGAATCAATTGAAATATATACTCAAGTCTTGAACATAACTCTTACGTCATCTATTCATGCAAAATATCAATATTGTTAAGTTTTGTGATGTACTTTTAGTTGGCTTGAAGTGAGTTTGTGAATTCTTGTCAGAAAGTTGACAGATTACAGATGTTACAAGCAACCATTGAGATGCTTCACCTTAGAATGTTCATATATAAGCTTATTATCTTAAAGGTTAGGGTCACCAACGCAGTGCCACGGGCACCAATTCACTTGTAAGGACCAAATGAGTCATGTTGTCATTTTTTCAATTCTTTTCCAGAAGATGGAGTCGGGGATTTGATTGCTGATATTTTTGGGGAAAGTGATGATGAAGGAGAAGAATTCACAGGATTTGGTGAAGAAGAAATTGGAAATAAAAAATCAAAAAAAGCAATGATATCTGATGACGAAGACGATGATGATGAACCACAACATGCAGAAGTTGAATCAGATGAAGGTATGATCTTCTTCATATTTAGTCCTCAGGAGACACTTGAACATTTTTGAACGTATTTGGTACTTTTTAATATTGCCTTTCTTTTTCCAGAGCTCCCGAAGTATGTGCACCAAGATGGCCCACAACCTGAACCCTGTTTCAGGTTGTGCGTCATCTTGGTGCACATACTTCGGGAGCTCTGGAGAAAGTAAGGCAATAAAAAAAGGCTTCGACAAATTTTTGCGTAATTTGAAAATGTAATGTAAAATGTAACCAATGTATACTAAACTACAGATGATGGGTTCAAGGCTCCAAAACCCTCGAAAAAATCAAAGATTCAAGACAAAGATGAAGGAAGCGATTCAGATGATGAAGGTGTGAGAGATTCTGGTAATCAAGGAATGTCAGATTTTGATATAATGCTGGCCAGAAAAAAAGAAGAAAACAGGTAATTTAGCAGTTTGAATATGTTATAATTCAAAGTTCGGAGTCATTACAATTTATTTGAGGTCTTTTTGTCAGAAGATGTAATAAAACAACTAATAGACATAATATATACTGGCAATATTTTTCATGAACAATTGCACATATTGTAGCATTTTAATAATTTTCAATTTGGACTACATGGTTTTCTTCACTTACTTCAACTTCTTCACAAATGCATTTGCCCACACTTAATAAAAAATTTATTTACAGTCAAGTAACTTGTTTGATTATCCTTTGCAGAAGTAAAAGAAGAAGGAAAGATGGCGGAACTTTTATATCTGATGCTGACGACATCATTAACGCTATGTTGACTAAAATGAAGGAAGCCGCAGAAGCAGATAGAGAAGCAAATCAAAAGAGAAAACCTGCACTTAAAAAATTAACCATGCTAAATACTGTTATAATGCACTTGAAGAAACAGGTATATCCATCATAATAGTAAGAATTGCTGATATATACATATAATGCTGACAAAATATCATAAAAACTTTGGTGTTGTTATGGTCGAAGATTTACATTATATTATGTAATTTTTTCAGAATCTGAAAGACGGCATTTGTAGACAATGGTGTTATTGCAGCGATTGCGGATTGGCTTTCATTGCTACCTGATCGTAGTTTTACCACACATCACCATCAGAAGTGAATTATTAAAAGTATTACACGATCTCCCACGCCGTCGGCTCGGTAAGTTCTAAATCAGTTCATATCAACTGAAACATAATCAGTCTACAATGACAATAAACAAGTTCAAAGAGATGTAAAAGTTACCCCTAAATTTAAATCCTGACAAAATATTTATATTTGCAGGAAACATTGAAACACAGCGGTATAGGCAAATCTGTCATGATTTTGTTCAAACATCCAAAGGAAATCAGATTTAATAGAGAATCAGCAGGTCGACTCATCAATAAATGGTCAAGACCAATATTTGGCCTGAATGAGAATTTCAAAAGCATGTCCAGAGAAGGTAACTATGTCTAATTACTTCCCTGCTTATCAGTAGAATTTCTATAACGATACCAGGATCCATGCACATTAATATTTGAAATTTTGATAAACAGCATCTGATGTTTTTACGGATTATATCATACAGCAATTTAGCTAGGCTAGAATTGTTGTATAATATAATACTAAGATAATTTGTACGAACCTTGTTTGTTACCGCACAACAGAAACGTTCATTTTTCATAAGTCGATTTAGGCTCTCATTTCTTCTATGCACTACTGGAACAAATTCACATATCTCAAACTGTTACATTACCAATTACTGACCCAATTTAGTTGTCTTTATGACATAAAATGGAACTGTTTTGACATTGTCTTGCATGGCTATGTTTAAATGTACAGCACTCTTTCATTTTATAGAACGTGAACAAAGAGATTTGGAACAGATGCCTCAAGCAAAACGCAGAAGACTGAGTTCGGGTGTTGCTAAAAATCAGACAGAAGATGGGAGACCTGAGAATGAACTCGGTCAATTACGACCAGGAGAAGTAGGTTTTGTAATGAGGGCTCGTGTCCCGATGCCATCAACTAAGGACTATGTTGTTCGACCCAAATGGAATGTCGAACAGGGTGGTGGACTTGATGATGAGGAAGAGTCCGCAGCATTGTCAAAGAGAAGGCGTAGTGCTGGAGCACCAAGGTCATCGAAAAAAGACGAACGTTTGGAAAAGCATTTGAAAAACTTTGCAGAAAAGAAAAAGAGCTCTAAATTACAAAGAGCAGTTAAAATAAGTATAGAAGGGAATAAAATGTCAATTCTTTAAAATATGATTTTATTTTAATTTTAAGAATCATGGTTTTGAAAGCATGGAATTTTTGCGTTTTTATTCTATTGCAAAATAATGGTCAATTGTTCAAGATATAAGATCAAATATTTGGGATCACAAGGGATTTAGGACCTGAATATCTGTATTTACGTTGTTGTATCATTTCTCTTAAGTCTATTGTTGTTCACCTCATCATGTTTTGGGGTGACATTCTGCTTATATGTTGATTATTGAAGACAGCAAGGTTGAACCAAGGTTCATTTGACACAAAAGCACTCTTGTATGTAAGACCTAGGAATGCAGGAAATTTATTGACTATTCTGGCGATTTTGTCATTACCATCATCTTACCAATCACAGACCAAACATAAAATTTGTGTAACAGTTTTGCTTTCAGATGGTCAGTGTTTTGCCAGTCCTTTTTACTATTATTTTTATTTCAATTGTATAATTCCATTTTTAAATAAACTTACTGAAGGTTTTCTCCCTCTTAATGAATAGCGGGAAGTGGATGAAGCTTTAGGGAAAAAAGTCTGGCACTGCCTAAGTGAGAAATGGTTGGGATAAAACGGGTTTTATTACAGGGATATCTGCTGAGAGAGATATTACAACCTAGTTGCTGGTCAGTCAAATACATACTTTCATAGATTTCAACAATCTTTCCATGGCACCAGTTTATTTATTAGTAGTGAAATTACACGCGTTCTTCGAATGTCAAGCTACAAGCATCGATAAAATTAAAACATTGAAGATAAACTGCAGTAATCAAACTGACTTATGTTATTGAAAACAGTGAATAAATTTGTCTGTCATTTTTAGACTGAATCTATTTTATTTTTACTCAGAAGAAAAAGCTAACAAAGAGACCCATGACCAAATAGCAATCCCAGGGATAGGCAAAAAGTCGAGTGCGATTTCGGAGTGGAGCCTTTGCTGTTTATATAATAATGAATGGAACTGTACTTATCAATATGGCAATGGCTTGTTTGGCTCTTTATCCTCAACACAATAAACTCACTGCAACAACAGAAAAGGTGTCTGAAACCTCGCATGAGGAAATCTACAATTTTGGATTTAGACCTACTCTTTGAACTGATGTTTTATTATTTGTACAAGATTTTGATGTTGAGAATCCTTTCACGCAGGACTTTGCCTGAAGTGAACCCATGTGCGTTTTGCGCCTAGAATGAACGATGTTTTAAAATGTGGTTTAAATGTTAATCACTTTAAGTGTGTTTTGGTTGGGGCACTTACGTTTCGCATTGCAAGGGCCTCTCGTGTGTGAACACATGTGCTTATAAGTTTCATTCCTTTTAAGTGTTTTTTTATCAGGTGAGGGAGCGCATATTCATGTAACCTCTCAATCTTATTCAAGGCTACGACCCTTCTCGTCTTCTTTGCATGCACCAAGTTGACTTGTTAGAAACATTATCAGGTTTGGTGTTCTTGTGTTTTTGACAAAGTAAAAATAAATGATTCATCTGAACTAACAAACTCGCTCGTATTTCTAATGAATCATTAATCACATCTATAACAATATTTTATTTTAAACAATGAAAAACAAAAATAATCATTTATTTCTTGATTTGTTTTGCTGCGCTAATAAAGAGCCGCTTACACATTCAATTATTCTGTTATAATCAAAAGAATTGGGTGATTTATTAAAGTCCTTGACAATCTGATAATTATCCTCATTGTAGAAATATTGCATTTGATAACTGAGCAATTGAGCATCTGTTATTGAAATTCCTTCATTCATTGGAACTCCGGACATAAGAACGATTCCTGAAAAGTGAAAATTGTGATAAATCCGGAGATATCAGAGTCTGCTGGAAACCATAAAACTGTTAAGCTAACATTATGTATGACTATATTACAAACTTCGTTATGGCTGTAGTCTAACTACCAAGGAATTAGGTAGCAAGTCTCAAAATTAGATACATAGCCCTATGATTACATACTTTTTACCAAATGCTATAAAAACATATATATTTCTTGCATAATTAGCATGAAGAAATATTATCTGTTTCATTACTTACCTTTGCTTTCCTTAAATTCAGTGTAATGATTGATAACCAATTGTGCAGGAGCATTTTCTCCATATTTTTGATATTGTATTAGTGTCGTAAAGTGGCAATCATTGCCAGTAACTTGACCCAAGAACATTTCATAACCATCTTTTCTTGGCAGTGGGTAAATGAACTAAAACATGCAAATGATAAGTGTGTTACCTCTAAATAAAGAGAGAATTATAAAAATATAATTTTGGTTGTAATACTAACTCTAAATGAATTTAGGCAGATACCAAAATAGGAATGAGCTACAGAAGAAACTGCCATAAATTAATATTTCCACCCAACCTCACCTTAAGTTTTCCTGATAAATTGATATGAATATCTAATACAAACTTTCTTCAATATATAGTAGATGAATTCGCACATGTTTTAAAGACAGGTACCGTATTTGAAAGGTTTGGATTTTTTTATCCCAAATCTCACAGCAAAACTTAAACGAATGATTCATCCGACATGATCCAGTATCATGACGGCAAAAAGAAGAAAGCGGTAGTTAGTTACACACTACAAGTTTTTGAAGGGGATTCACACTTGTTACTCAATTTTGTAATGACCACGAAGCCAGATGTTTGAGAAGCCACTTGTCAAAAGTATTTCCATTTCAAATTAATAGGAAATACCGAAGATACTCACAACTGGGTTTTCCTGTCTTCTCGAATGGAGAGTCTGATATGTATTACTTTGTATAACAGCAAATACAGCATCTCGATCTTTATAATAATTTTTCCATAATTCTGTGATTTCTGAAGCCGATTTGTATTCCAAGAGTTCCAGTTTCATTATCGCATCAAGGCCCTTGAAAATGTCAATTCCCATTAGTCTGGACATATTTCAAACATCATTAGCAAGTATGAACGCTTTTGAATGACAGTTTTTTAAATTTAAATGAACTTGAAACCAGACAGTATGGTAATATAAATACACAAATAAATGGATTATTCACTTATGAGAATCATTTCAAAAAGTTGATTTTAAAAACTTTATTTGTTGTAAGATACTTTTGGCACTGGTTTTATATAAAGGGGTTTATAATGGTTTATAATGCCCAGGAAATCATAAAAGGAGGCAAGAAGTTAGCTAATTTGTTGAAACTAGTTCTTCTTAGTATACTTGTAATAACAAATCATGAACACAAAATTGAAAAATTCAACATAACTGACCTTCCTCTTTGGATCAACACTACTTGAATCTGCAGATTCCGATGTTCTCTGTTTAGTGTCATTAGTTTTGTTTTCACTCCATGATGGTTTTGATGAAAGTTTTTTGATTGCATCAAGTTTTTTGCGATATTCTTCAGGATTTGTCCTATATATTAAAATGAAATTAATCAGTAATATATTAAAAAAATAGTGTCCAATGTCGGCTTCAGAAAGCTTCTGAACACTCTCACTCCACAACTCACTTGACATAATCAACACTAGCAACTTGTTATATTTGATTACGAGTACCATTTTAATCTATTTCAGAAATATAAAAAAGATGAGCAGTGCAAGAATTATGTTTCAGGTACCATATGAAAGCATAAAATGAGGATCCTTTATTTGGTAATAGAGGTGAGAAGTAGCCTACTTGCTAAAGATAATCCTTTATTCTCATCAGAAACATGTCAGGGCGCATGTTCAATAAACGCAGGAAGTTCTTTATTTATATATCATATCAGGATCGTCATGACGAGAAAACAAGAGAAATACCTCGCTCCGATTTCGTGTGATAGTCCGCACGTCTTGAATGAAAGTTAGTTTGGGGGCCTTATTACGTTGCTGTGATCTCGTTATGACGTAGTTAGGTGGAGGTTAGGAATAACATATGCTAAAATGGTTGTGCACGCCAACTAGAGGTACTTACGTCGTGTTGTGAATGTGAACATGGCCCCTTGTCAGCCCCATGCAGATAAATACAAATTTATAAGTAAAAGACAGTAGGAAAATGCTGTTACAAAGAGATGGAATAATTCAATTGCACTTACTCTTTCAACTTCTTTATTTTCTCTGCATATTTTTCATAATAAGGATTTTTATCCAATTTAATGTCCAATTCTTCTTTAGAGAACTTTGTGACTGACATTGCAATGGATTTTGACTGTGCAGCGGCAAATGCTGTTCTGAGTAAAAGTGGAGTTTTTCAGGTTAGTATCTTTAATATATCATTTAAAGGAATACAATTTCCTCACGAATACCGTAGTCCCAATGGGTATTATTTTTATGCAAATACAGAAATCTGTCGGTTCAATCTATAAAATAACCTGAATAAACAGCGAAGTTGATAGAATTACAGGTATCAATGAAGAAATGTACTTGGGCATCTTAAGAAGAGTGACGCTTAATGCAAGATTGCAGTTTCGTCTTAGGGTGGTGTAGCCAGTCTGCGAACGATTTCATTTAAACTGCTATAAAACAAAAACCAATATTTCTAACCCGTTAATTTTTTTACCGTAGGCATTGTCATTTATTCTACACGCTAAACCTCGAATTAACTTTCTACGACCAGGGGTTAAAGTTATACAAACCGCCAAAGTAGAACACTCTGAAGACTTATTTGCGACCGAAGGACCAGTGTGCGACCACGGATTTCAAGCCTTGAACATCGTTTCTGCTGCGTCGAGACTAGGGCATACGCAGCCATGCGTGAAAAAAATAGGCTTCTAATTGCATTTCTGACCGTCATATATTTTAAGAACACGGTTATTTCGAACAAAAGTCGTCAAATTATAAACAAAGCACCGCATCACAGCAATCAAACAGACAAAAACACGGTGGTCGCAAATTGGTAGACAAAGATATTATCGACGTATTGGAAATGTGCACCCCCCTATTCCCCCTCCTTCAAATGTAGAAACGCGAAACTGAAGTTGATGGTCGCAAATAGGTCGTGGCCGCAAAGCGGGTAAGCCACCCTATGTCCATTTCTATGCATAAATTCGAAATTTGTTTTATTTATTGAAGTTGTATAGACACCCTCCTAAAAAAAAAATTACATATTTGCTATTTGTTGTTAAATTTTTGTACCAGTAGTTTTTTAGATGTTTTTTGATAAGATTATGACAAGTTCCACATCCAAAACTGCTGAGGTCTGGTATAGTTCAGTACCACAAGCACTTCTAGTTACCCTGACTCAACAATTTTTGCATATGTAAATCCTAACCCTCCCTGACTATGTTATCCAAAAATTACATCACTACGATGTCACAATCACACAATAGAGCTTGCCAAAGTATAGCTACGATCGCCCGAAACGGTATTTGCGCGCCGATAATGAACTCGCTAACTCCTGCGATCCCTCTCATATCGTTATCGGTGCGACGAGGAAACGAGAGAGCTTGCTCGATTTCGGGTGATCGTCTCGCATTTTGGACGATCATCCGTACACTTTGGAGGGCTTTAGTTCGCTACTAGGACTTCGCAGTGACGAAATTTTTTGGTGGGGTAGTCAGGTGGGGGTTAGGATTGACATATGCAAAAATTGGGCCAGCCCAACTGGAAGTACATGTGGTACTAAACTATACCAGACTTCCACTCTTCGTTCGTGGACGGATCCTTACATTAGAGCTTGACCGATATATCGGCCAACCGATATATCGGGCCAATATTGCCTGTTTGCATATATAATTCGGCCGTAAACCGCCGATATATATCAGTCATACCCGGCAAGCGCCGGGCTGCGTGCTGCAACGGCTCTCGCCCCTGCGCAACTGGTTTCCCAGTATTTCTCTCGCTTTCATTTTGCGTTATAAAGGTGTCTCTCCTAATTCCCGGTGTCTTATGATTAGCCATTTCATGCATGGTCATATGAAAAGTTATTACCTGGAGTAACAATGACGTTTTATAAAGTGACGTTTTTGAGAGAGTACACAATGAGAAAAAAACAAATTTAGTAACAGCATTAAACGGTGCTTCTATAAATAGAATCGATTGGAAGCTGGTGAGTTAGTAATCATAGAAACATGGTACAGGTAGCTCAAAGCAATAATGTCAGTTCTGAATTTGTGACCTCCTCAAATTCAATTTTAAATTTCTGGGGTAACAGTTTTGTCTATATTGATGGTTGTTTATCATTTTGCTGAAAATTACAAAATAAAAACTTAATCCATTGTTATTGACTAAATAAGGTATTGAGATTCTCTGGAAACAAAGTTATTAAAAATTTCACATGTAACTGCACATATGCTATCACGATATCGAAGGAATTTATCATTATCACGATAATACCCTTAACATATGTCCATAGTTATATTTAAAAACGTCAAATTAACAATTCTTATTCCTGGAAATAGCTAGACTGATATTGAAGTGGCAGGAAAAGTTACAGAATAACATTTGTTCCGAGCAATAACTGGAGTTAGTTAAATAAAAGTCTTACTGCCATGATAATAAATATCAAAATGAAACTACAGACTCACAAGGTGCATCATAAAAGCGTGGCTCAAAATATGATTTATATTAATATCGGCATAGCGATATCGGTGTGGCTCAACAGGCTAAGCGTTAGGAATACGCTCGCCACCTCTAACTACTCTGCGTGGGTTCGCAGGTTCGAATCCCATGCAGAGATGGTTATGTGCTAGAGGATTCTGGACTCCTCGCCGTCGTTGGGTGGTTCACGTAACCGGTGGTCGGTTAGGGCTTCCTCCACCACCAAGTCCGTGCTTCCGAAAACAAACAATATAACTAATCCCATACCCGACTTGGAATGGTAACCGGACGAGAGGCCGTGGTTCGCCATGTGGATAAGCCGTCTTATCGGCTTCCCTCTCCCCGGGATAAATATGTAAATCGATATATACGGTACCGTATCGGCGTCAAAAAGTGATATCGGTCTAGCTCTACCTTACATAACTGAATCATATCAATTCTTACCTTGAGTTACCCAATATTAATGGAAATAGTTGTCTTGAATTCCTTGCCAAGTTCATGTTATTCAAAAATATGCGATGATTAAGAAATGATTCTCGCAAATCGCTCATTTCACGTTAACCTTCCATTTCTAGGAAACTGAACAAATCAGCCATGCGGAAATATTAAATGAAGCTTTTTCATGAACTTCAACCGACGACCTTTAACACTGAAGGCACGTGGGAAAAAATACGTGACGTCACGTTCTTTTCGCGGACATCAAGTCTCTGGCGGCTGTACTTTCGAGTTCTACCATTCGTAACTGAAAAATAAAGGCGGAACCGTCAACATGTCAGGAGGTATGTCCCTTAAACACATCAATATAACCACTCTTGATGTTTATTTTTGTATTATGAAGGAAACTTCTTAAAATTCACCGTGACTGGCGAATCGATTGATAAAATAACCTATTCTGACTCTGACCATGCACAATACTGCAATAATGGTTGCAGTGCATGGTGTTTGTTTTTATCGAAAATAAGCTATATCCATCACAATTCATTTGAAGTGAACTCCCAATGGAGGGTTTGTTAAAAATTTTCCAAAGAACTCTTCAAAATTGGTAGGGCACAGTTCTCCAATGGGCTCGGTGGTCTGGTGTCACCAACGCAAGAGATTCCCTCCGTGTGGGTTCGAATGCTGCGGAACCGGATGGGATTCTGTGACAGGTGCACGCCAGAGTACGCTATTATTTCCCACAAATGCACGCGAGTGAAATCCATTTTACACACCGGAAAATTTGTGATTGTTCACCATTTGCCATTAGGCCTATATCCAGATATCCGACAGTATTGAGGGTGGAGGAATGAAACAGACACCAATAAACAGTACTAACATTACAAACTGACCTATTATAGACAACATGCATCTTTCGGCTTTCACTTACATGCCAATCAACAACTAAGTGGGCCTCTCTTGAAACGTAAGGCTTCTTGTTACCTTAATCACATTCTGATTGCGCCGATTAATTGATCTTCGACCTATGCAAAAATACGCAATGTTGCTTTGCAAGACTGAATTGTGCGCCAAAGCCCCAGTTAGAATGTTTCGTTCAAAAAAATTATACACTAATTTATTCAATGGTATTTTTAAATCGGACAATTATGTCAGTTACGGGCTAGGAATCTAGGTTATTCACACGATTTCGGTAAGTTTGCATGCAGGCTCTGGCGCGCCGCGGTAAATCATTGCACGCGGAATCTGGGATTTCGGACCAGATTTCTTGTGGAGAAAGGCCATGAAATCCATACTAGATATGGGGTATAATTCTGTGCGAGAGGATTGCTGGACTCCTCGCTGCCGTAGGGGGGTTCCCAAGACTGCTGGTCGGTTACGACTTCCTACTCCATCAAGTCCATTCATCTGAATCAAATAACTGGCAAACTAATCCCATACTCGCCTTGGACTGGTAACTGAACAAGAGGCTGTTGTCCATCTTATGATTAAGCAGTCTTATTGTCTTTTCTTTCCCATGGGATAAATATGTCAATCCTATCTTAATTACAATAATATTACGTTCCAGCAGCACGCAAATTTTTGTTTGGTCAATTTAGAAAACAAACCCAAGTAATGCTGTATTAAGCTATCATATGAAAGTTTCTTGGAATGTTTGAGAGGGAATACGATTCTTACTATCAATCAATACATGTCCATAACTCCCCAAGGCAATCAAAGTCATAACTCAAACTGTCATGTGGTCAGAAAAGTCTGTATATCACCCGCTTGTATATTTCTATCACTATTCCCACAACCTCAACTAATGCCTGATTTGCCTGTATCTCATTGTGTTTTTTCCTATTCGTTTATGCTTAAAGCCCGATTAAAACTGTTTTATTTTTGCTCTCTTTAAATTATATTATAAGGTGAGATGGCTCATGCAGTACATCTATGTCTATTGTTTAATAGTGCGGCACAGTTCTAAGATTCGAAGATAATCGGACCTTCGGAGTTAATTTTTCAATTAATAGTTTTAACATTTAGGATGTGTCATGATTAACTTGCAATACAGAAGTGACCGCATTCTTACCAATATAGTTAATTTAAGATCTATTAATCTGTACCCCTGTTTAAATCATGACAAATGCTGTATATATATGAACCGTATGTATTATTTTATGTATTCATAAAAGTTGTGCTAAATTGAATTTCGTAGGTTTGGATATTCTGAGTCTGAAGGAAGACGATGTATCGAAAATGTTGGCTGCGACCACACATATCGGTACAACCAACTGCGACTTTCAGATGGAACAATACATCTACAAAACTCGTGCCGATGGAGTTTATATCATCAATCTGAAAAAGGTGTGCTTGAATTTGTTTGTTTACTTGATACTTTCGCAGAAACAGGATTTGTATATCGGAAAAGCTATTAGACCTGATCAACTTTAATATGCTATTAGTGGAAATCATTGAGATATGGCCGATCCGAATAAGCTTATTGCAGCATAGCAGGGCTGATGCTTTTTATATCAATTTTTTGTTTTCCTGGTTAGGTTGCAAATTGTAGAAAAGTCGATTGGACCCAACTATTTTTCATCAGAAATGGTTAAATTATGGAGATTGGTGTTGCCATGGTGTTAAGTCCCAATTTCTCACGACCCAGAGTGTATTTGTACAACATGCTTTTATTTTCTAATTGTTCTTTTAATTCAGACCTGGGAGAAGCTTCAACTTGCTGCTCGTGCGATTGTTGCAATTGAGAATCCAGTAGATATTTGTGTCATTTCATCGAAACAGTTTGGACAACGTGCTGTTCTCAAATTCGCATCTGCTACTGGTGCAACTGCTATTGCTGGAAGATACACACCTGGTGCTTTCACCAATCAGATCCAGGTACATTTCGTCAAATGAGATCTGAGATCTATAGTTAGCTTGTGTTAATATTATTGAATTTTATTATTGTATATTCTGTGATCTAATTGTCAATGATATGAAAAATAACTGGTACCGAATTTTAAAAAAATCTGTAATTTTGTAAATGCAGTGAACTTTATGCGAACAACCTAACATAATCAATCTTCTGTTAAGGCTGTCTTCCGAGAGCCTCGCTTGTTGATTGTAACGGATCCTCGCACTGATCATCAACCTATTTGTGAGTCCGCTTATGTCAACATCCCTGTGATTGCATTCACAAACACTGATTCTCCTCTTCGATACGTCGATATTGCCATCCCTTGCAATAACAAAGCCAAGCATTCTATTGGTCTCATGTGGTGGTTGCTTGCACGAGAGGTAAGCTAATTTTGCTTGTAGCATTAGGGTTCTTTGGGTAACATAATTTTTAGATTCCTATTAGAAAAACCAAGTGGAAACGTTGGTCACCCATTGCGATTGTTTTTTGTATTTCAATTAATAGCTCTAACTGTTGAATTGAGGGGAAATGGTTTGATACTAAATATTCTTCATTTGCATTAAGTTGTGAAAGTTCCACATCTCGTGCAATGTAAATTGCTTTGGAAAAAGCAATGAATAGTCTGCAAGCTTGTGGACGTACTGGGCATTCTGTGAAATCTTTTTCAAATCGAGATTTCGAATATTATTTTTAGTGGTCGGTCTACTAGTTTAAGCTTACTCATCACATTTTTTTAAAAGAATTTGTTTTGTTCTACAACACTTGCAGGTTTTACGCCTTCGTGGAACAATTTCCCGCACTCAAGATTGGGATGTCATGGCTGATCTTTACTTCTTCAGAGAACAAGAAGAAATTGAGAAGGATGAAATCGCTCAATTAGAGAAAGAACAAAAAGAAACTGAACAGCAGCAATCATACCAACAAGACTGGGGTGGTGAACAGGTAGGTGTAACAATATTGCTTTGGTTTTTTAGTTGGAAAGCAGGGTACTCTCGGAGTATGTGAACCAAGATGGCGGACACCGGAAAGTAGTATGTGTACCAGGTTAGGGTTAATAATTTAATAATAGACCATTATTTTTTTCCAATTTCCCATAATTCGATTCTATTACGAGTTCGGGGTCTAGCCAAGTGACTCCCGTAGTATTTGTACCTGAAATTATGGTCTGACCCTAAACTGGTACATATACTACGTTCCAGTGTCCGCCATCTTGGTTCACATACTTCGGGAGTACCGAAAGCAGGGTTTACATATGACTTTAAACTTTACACATTGACTCCAAGCAAGGTTGTGCACACTCCCAAGCATTGTATTGCTCTCTCCTGTGCATACCAAATCAATTTAATTTTATTGCTGTCACATTTTTATTGTATTGATGACAAAATAATTCTCTCTTGAAGTAGCATGCTGACCAATCTCATTGCCAAAATATGCTGAAACTATATAGAATTGTGGTGATTTGTAATGCATGTTTGAATATCAATAATGTTCATAAATGAGTCTCTTTTATCCTGAGTGAGTGACTTGACGTTGCTCTGAGCAAATTTCCTTGAAATAATAAATTAATATTCACATCGCTTTTTGCAGACTCAACAAGACTGGGCTGGTGAGCAAACTGGAATCTTGGATGCTAGTGCCAGTCAACCAACAACCCAACAAGTTGCTACTGGGGGTTTCGATACCAACACAACTGATGATTGGTCAGCAGCTCCTGACCCGAATCAAGCCAGCGATTGGGGTGCTGCTCCAGCACCACCACCACCAGCCGCGGGAACCACTCCTGGTGTCACAGCAGATTGGGGAGCGAGTACAGAGTGGTGAAGAGTTCCAGAATATGCCCATCTTGTATCGCAATGCATTGTGAACTTGCAATAAAAATTTTGGGCAATATCTTATTTGGTTTCATGTTGCATTTCAACAGGCAGTTTTGAGGTCATAAGGGTTGGGCTGCAAATTACCCATTACGGAAGTGATTTTGCGACTTGTGCAACTTGTCACTGGTTGATATGCAGTTTTGGCAATGGTCCTCAGACGTCGAATTTCAACTTCTAGTTATCGTGCACTGCCTAGGGCGTCCTCCATCAGTGAGGTATCAAGTTGTTGACGGTGATACACCACGTGTTTACCGACACATTTAAAGTTGTACGCGCGCGTTGTTATCATAAATATTGGTACAGAACTCACCTCCGCTGAATTGTATTGGTAGCGATTTCGGTGACGCTTAAATTGAAACGGGCATAATTGAGGAGGACTATCTCGGCTCATCTAATTCGCAAATATCGTATGCGCTAAATGATAACGACGTGAAATGACGTTTGCACAGTAAATAGATTATTTGCATTGGGTTCAACGAAAGTTACTTTGCACATCCTAAATACATATTCATCTTTCCAAATCGGTGGTATCACATATAATATTTCTGCTATGCATGTGGCCTGGTAACACGCTACCATACCAATCTACTTACTGCTATCGTGGAATAGATGCATGCGAACGAGGCCGATGAGAGGCCCCTAGGCTATGTCATTTGTGAGGGGCCCCTCTTACAGTGACGCCAATATAGGCTCAAGTCTATCTTGCCTAATGGTGAATCCGACATTGTTGTGACTAAGAATCGTGTTTTACAGTTATTCTCAGTTTCTCTACTTTTCGCTGAGATGGCTAAAGTGTTTGGCAAATAGAAAGTGTATTAACAATTGCAGGAATGTCTTGAAAACTCGTACATTTATACGAATTAAGGTTTATTCTGACTCTGTAATATCAAATTGGTCCAAGTAACTCGATACTCGCCAACTCAAATGAATGATGATGACGCAATGTTTTTCTGAAAACTTTTCTACGCAGAAGTGAGTTGTAAGTTTGTAGACTTACGTCGGGAAAGTCCAATTTTGACAAACTATTACGCCCGGCAGACTTAAACATCCCTGTCATGCGGTATGGCTGTCATAAATATTTTTTATTTAATATCAATACATTTTTTTTATCGGAGGCAGCCCAATTATCACTGATTTGCGACTCACTCTACTAGTTCAGTGAGAGATGGAGAACTACTATAATATGATGTTTACCCAACATCTACATGCATCTGCATTTTTGTTTAATATATAATTTAGCTGCAGCTTCTCTCTTTTTTCTAATTTTATTATAGCCTTGTGGTTGTGTGTGTGAATTGGTTCAATAATTTCAGGTGTGTGAACACGTAGGCTACCACTTCTTTTTGGCAAAACCTTCCATCTTATATTCTGTACGTTTAAAACCTTGTCCAAGGTTTTGTTTGCTTTCCTGATTTTATAATCAGTTTTTATTTATTTGTTTTTATTAATCATTTTATCACCTTTTATGCTGAGCCTCGGAAAGGTTGGTTCAAGTCGCACTGTCCCGGTCAAGTGTTTCATATACTGTTTATTGCGAGCCTAATTTTCAACTTTTTCAGGGATATGAACAATTGCGACGATTTAGCCTACGCGAAAGTCGTGTCCCCCAATACGAAAGTCGTATATCATATGCATTTAATCTAACATTTTTTGTTCTGTACTTGTCAAAAGGGGTGCATGTCGCACATTTGTGTTTTAGGCCAGTACGGTCTTGTGCATGCGTCCCGTCTCCAATATTAATATTGTCAATTTTTTATATATATTGCTTACTACTACGAGACTAATAAACATACATACATACATACGAAACCAGTTAATATACTATTAGTATTATGTATTGTCATTGGTAAGAAGAATGCTTCTCATGCGGGTCATACACGACGCAAGCGACTAAAAATTTCCTACGACGCTCGATTTTCATCGAAAGTGTGCGAAACTCAGATAGATGAATATACCCAAGGACAAACAGTGTCGAGCCTCCTATTGAACTTGCTCGAATGACACTTTAAATATTCTTCCGAAGAGAATAAGTACGTTTCTTCAAGAGCAGGATGGCATTTCCATATTTATTCCGGTAAGAAGAAAGCATATATATATATAAGACCACTTAATATTATGGCAAACCACAGCCTCTCATCCAGCTGACAGATTCATGTCGGGTGTGCAAACCAGTTAACCAGTTATATGTTTCAGATACATAGATTTGATGGTGGAGAAAGCCGTAACCGGCTAGCGGTTACGTGAACCACCATACGACCGCGAGGAGTCACTTTCCAGCAATCCCCCTGCACGCTAAACAAGATACGCCATATTGCAGAACTTTTGATACAGTCGCCGGCGCCGAGCTCCTGCTAAAATTTGATACTATGGTATATATATGTGGTCAGATTTTTGACATCATAAAATCTTTTCTGTTTGATCGCAATATCAATGTTGTTCTGGAATCTAGATTCTAGATGACCAACGTTCCTAGACAAATCCTATCTCCACTGGAGCTCCTAAACTGAAGGGTCAATTATTGGACTATTGAATTATATATATATATATATATATATATATATATTATAATTTTAAAAAAAATTTAACATTTTTTTAATGCAAATTTGCGGCATTTTCAGTGAGACGTAAACTCTTATGCCTTTTCCAACACCATTTTTCTCTATTCTCGAACGATTTACTGCAAAACGGATTTTCCGTGGCTTGCTATCAATAATTCTTTCACCAAAAACACCCACCCAACGACGGCGAGAAGTCCAGCAATCGCCTCGCACATACCGTATTTCCCCGAAAATAAGACTGGGTCTCATTTCAATTTTGTTTTCGAAAATAACACTAGAGCTTATTTTCGGGGGACGTCCTATATTTTTATTCATAAAAAGCAAAATTACAAAGTAGAGAAATACGAGATTTTCTATACAAAATATGAAAACCGATATCCATTTACTTATAATTACACGTTTTCATTCAAAATAACTGCAAAACATAGAATATCAATCATTTAGAACAGGGTGGTCCATGGTTGTCGGCTCCGCGGGCCACAAAATTATTTTTGCATTGTTCGCGGGCCACAATAGTGCCAAGAATAGGTAAACAGTGCAATACATCCGCATTCGTTTTTTAGTTTTCTATGATACATATATTGTTAGCATATATTCCCGACCAAAAAGATAGAAAGCCAGATAATAAATTAGACTGCCAATCGCATCATTCAACTTTGCTAGTTGCCTCAGATAGCCATAACACTAGCCAATTCAGTGACATAAGTGATGTAATAATATGTCAAAAGATTTTTCTGAATAATCCCATTATCAAAACAACACGAAATACTATTTTTTGATTACTCTCCGAATGTGACGCGGACCACAAATAATGAAGCGGCGGGCCACAAGTGGCCCGCGGGCCTGGGTTTGGACCACCCTGATTTAGAACGTGTGGTAGAGATTTCTTGCTATCGACTAGGCCAAAAAAAATATTGGCGTTATTGACTAGGATAGTGGTTCTTAGACTTGGGGGCGCGCACCCCTTGCGGGGCGTAAGAAGAAAAAAACCAATCATTACACAACACACTTGCGGTTTTTTGGCGACCACGCAAGAAATACACACATAACGTCAAAGTTGAGTGTTATATTTGCGTTATAGTGTTTTTATTCATTCATTTTCAGTAGCTACGATACTAGCATAAAGTGCATCAATGTCGCGGCAATATCAAGTTTTAGTGAGCCGTTTCGTAAAATTTGAAACACCAATACAAGTATTTATTGAAGTAACATAACGAAGATTTCTGAACGAATGGTCGATATATACTGATTTGTGACTAATTAGTAGCAATGCCATTCGTCAATTTCACCAGAATTATTGACAAATACGCAGTGACGACATTTCCAAAATCTTATTTAACGCGAACATAACACGTACAAAAGTACAAGCATAAAAAGACAACGGGGGACCGGGGACCAGTACTCAAGATATTGTTGACTTTTTATTTTACGTTGACGATAAAGACGATCAAAGCCGACTCGAAAGAAAGCAATCAGAATGAAATTATTTGCAAACGTAGGCTCCAAGTTCATTTATATATTTGCGCTCAGCGTTGGTCCCCAATGATCGCACAATATCTTTATAGTTCGTCGAACAGAGTGCACAGTTTTGCGAGAAATAAAAAAAAATGACGTTTATGTCCACCAGGGTGCAAGACTCGACACATACGTAATAATAAAAACCGGAATTTGAACGTAGATAGATGGCAGGAATAATTACACCAAAATCGCGAAAGATTCTTATGTATAGTGAAATGTATGTAAAAATTTAAAAAGTCTGCTTACAAACTTTATAGGGCGGGCCTTCCCCATTTTGAAAACTGTATTTTCGACCTGGTGGTTGTAAGCTTGTTAGAAGTTATTGATGGTGACTTTTGAAGACTTTAGGCAAGCCAAGCAGTCTGTAATCGTTGCGTATTTTCAACACAAAATAAATGGATTTTTGCATAGCTCGACAGTGATGACGTAAACAATTGATTGTGATTTAACGTGTATATAAACGTTTAATAAAGTAGAGTATAAATGTTTAAGTAGAAAATACATCCAAGCGCAAAAAAGCATACGTTTAGTTTTAGTTAAAATTCAGTGTTTGTCTTTACCCGGTATTGCAAAAAGAGCGTAAAAACGAGAGTGTATGATGGCGATTATCTTAATACATGGCTTTATGCATACGACAGTGAATAGCGAAGTTGCACTCTGATGCTTTTTATGCCTAAAAATCTGAACAATTACGCTATGAGACCAACTCGCTCACAGCGCCATCACAAAGCAGCCTGCCCACCACAAAAGCATTTGGCCTTTTTTCAAAGAGTTTTCATAACAGTTCGCTGCACCAGCCGACGACATACATTTCGGACGGCCTGCGTAATCGGTGCACACCTTCAGCGTCGATTTAGGAAAATTTCTGCCACAAGTAAAAATCAAATCCGTCGACACATTGCTTGCTTTCTAGGCCTCCGTCAGAGCGTACTCAAGCTAGGCAGGCCTAAAACCGCCCATTGTAGATAGCCTACTTCAGATGCCCAAAACAAAAAACCATTCTTAGCCGCATATGAACGCTGTAGGAACGTCACTTTCTTGGTAAAATTTGGCAGTTGGCTCATGTGCGATGTCGATCGATGATGACTCATCCGATATCACGAGTCCCGACAAGTTTTATCTCTGGAACGTGCCCGCTGATATTCGTCGGTAACTTCGTACTTCTATTGTACAAAACACCGATACGTCAATGCATGGAATATTGCTGTCAGATCTGGGCTAGCGTGACCGTGCTCCTGCCAAGCCTAGACCAAATTTAAAAAAGAATATCGAATGATTGGCTACGATACGTCTCGGCGTGGTTCTGTTCGAAGTATATTTATTTTAAACTGTCGACAGGTATACTTCCCAATTGACGTCGGAACTGCAAATCCCATCGATGGAGAATGCTTCAATCTGTATTTTCCAACAAGCATGCTATAATATCCCCTTATTGCAAGGTTCTTTCCCTATTCCCAGAGTAGTCTTTCAGAATCTCTTTATCTCTTCTGCTCATAGCCATACGTCAAAGATACAAATAAATTATCAAAATAGGCACAAATTTATTTAAGAAAAACGTTGATTAGGTATATATCAGTGGCATTGTGTTGCAAAAAAAGAGCACACAATGAAAAGTGCAATTAAGCAATGAAAAAGACATGCTAAGTGTGACCTAGGATAAATCATGTTTGTAATATATGATTTGTCCTGGTCCCAAGCTTGGCAACAAACAATAATTCAAAAAATATCATTTAAATCGATGAACGCAATAAATTTAGCAAAAATTTAAATTTTTCTGTATAAAATGCTTAGAAAATTTTTATATTCGTAAAATTGGCTCTCAAAAAATATTTCTAATAGCAATTAGAAATATTGCCACACCACATTTGCGGTCGTAAAAATTTCAGAAGTATATATATATACAAAACACATGAAAATAATTCAGATGTTTTGCACCAAAAACATCAAACGAAGCCATTGATAATGAATATGTCCACCATAAATGACAAAAGATGAACAACTGACAAAGATTTGATGAGGTTATTATATTTCTAAAGGGCTTACCACATAGTTTGAAAGTATGCATTTCGTAAAGGAATACCAATACAATGCACAACAACAGATCATAAACAGACGACCGAGGCCTGCTGGAATATTGATTAACATCAACACTATCTAAAATATCAATTTTGCTCGATAAAAATAAATACATATTTAGAAACTGCTTTCCAGAGTTTAACAAAGAGAAAAACAGAAATAGATCAATAGAAAACAGCAATATACTAAATAGAAGTGGAAAGTAACTTTTGTCGACTGAGTGAAGAAAATGGTGATCACAAAATCTCAAACTTATCATAATTTTCAACTTATGCACAGACTAACCACTCATGTGATAAAACTGGGATATGAGAAGAGCGTCATCTCCTAGTGTGCTTAATATTTAGTAACAGCTATTTTCTAAACTACAGTAGACAGAAATCTATCGAGGCAGCAAGAAACAAAAATTTTAACAAACTGAATTTCTGAATAACCTCTTTGTAATAATAGAGACCAAATATTTTTTAAAGCTTACTACAAAATTACACCTTTACTGGAAATATTTTCACAAAATTCATTATAGAACTCATGATCGTTATCAAACCAAAACAATTGACATAATTTCCCATCTGGGTTGAAATCACGCTTGCACTAACATATTACAAATTCTTTCATGCTCGTATTTTAGAGTAGACAGAAAGTCACTTTCATAGTGCACCATCACCACTAACAGGAATCGAGGTTTAATATCATTGCACATGTATCCTCCTCAACCTCGCACCGGATTCCATCAGATTCTTGACATATGCTCGGCATATCGATCAACGATGATGCCATGCTTGTACCAATCATGCTACTATGATTTCTTCAAGCTTCAGTGTAAATTAATCACTAAAATCAATGAATATACATTAATGTTGGTCAACAATAATTTTTAAGAATATCATTCCTTAATTATGTTCGGCCACATTGCCAATGTATATGTAGATAGTCATAGTCTGATCTCAGGCAAGAGCTTGTACCTATACATATGAAAACGTTCTTAAAGACGACACATACCTTTAGCTTTACCGGCAGATTGTATAATTTGCATTACACATCTTCCAAACTCTTCTAAAATCATGGTTTCTGCAACTACCATGGGTCTGTTGGTTTTTTCAGCTTCTTCTGCCTAAACAACAATATTCAAGTAACTAACAAGTATTGCGAGATTTAAACACAATCTTACCAATTGATCAAATATTTAATACATTGTATGGCAAATACAGGTTGGTCTTAATAAACATCATCTAATCGCAAGGCAAATATTATTATGTTATTTCACGAAGATTAATGACTTTTTTCAGAAAATGTATATTAGGCCTACTCAATGAAACGCACTTGCTAGACAATTTTCTCACCTGAGCTAATAAACAAGTACAAGTTGCTTCTATAACTTCTTGCGTAAAAAATGTGTACGGCAATCTGAAACCAGGAGGAAGGAAATAGTAATGAGTGCTTGCATAAACGTTTATGATCAGACAGATATCGAACTAATCATGAGGCATTATACTATCTATTGTTGGCATGCTGTACTAATTTAAAAATGATGTAATATGAAAAAGGTATTGGTTGTCAAATACAACAATAATATTCTGAAAAAAATTATGTAACAATATCAACTCAAATAGATTTACCTTTCACCAGATGATGTTGTTCTAGCAGTTGGCCTAACATCACCAATTTGATTTGATAATTTGGTTTTAGCTGCTGTTTGCTGTTGAACACGAACTTCTGCAGCATCAGCTAAACTCATTAATGATCTCCGATCATTTGTTTCTTCATAATTTTTACATCCGATGCATTTACATTTGGATGTACATGGAATTCTTGCCTACAATAAGTATTTTATTGGAATAGTTATTGAAATTTGAAGTGCGTTCTATATAGTATACTGGTTTGAATGGCGTTTCAAAATTGAACGCTTTGAACCTTTGAAAATGGGAGTTTGAATATAAAATACCAAAGTCAAGCGTCAGATCTAAACTCAAATCATTATCAAGTTTTGCAAATACAAAGGTTGGTAGCTGAAGAGTAGACCAGAGTTAGTGTTAACATTTTGGTTGTTCACAAAGTTGAGTGTTTTTTATTTAGTTGAAAAAAGGATAAAACTTTTCTCTGGCCCAACAGCACCAAAGAAAAAGTGTTAAATTTCTTATAAGAAATATCCGACAATTCCTTTCGTGACCTTTAATATCTTTTTGATTCTAGAAACAATTCAAAATATCAAGATTATTTACCTCATAACACTCGCAATAATTTTTCAAACATCCTGATCTTTTACAGTTACAACCTTTTTGATGTGTTCTGTTGTCATCTTTACCTCGACCAATCTTGGGCCTGTAAAATAATTTTTAAATTCGTTATTAAAAGTCTAATCGATGCCATAAAAATCAAAACAGAATAATTCACTATTCCGAATACTTTTGAAATAATCTTTTACAATACTTATCTTCTGAATCGGGTCACGTTGAACCGATAAATATGCACAGTCAATTTAAATCCAGAAATTTATGATTATTCTCTATTTTCACACTGTTAGAAATAAATTTCTGAACATCAGATTATTCAGATATTAATAAATGTTCAAGTTGAAAAATCCTCGAAAGAAACTATTCAAAATCATTGCTATAATCAAGAAGTTACTACATCAAATCATTTCCGATCCATTTCATGCTAATAACTTCAAATAGGAGAAAAAGTGCACACAATAACATCATAATATACTATAGAAATGAGACACTAACATCTTTCAAATATTACCTGAATGCGGCTGGATTTCTTTCTAAACATTGTTTCACAGCTTTTGACCTTTCACTTTCATGTTCCAGATTATTAGAACAATTTATACAATTACATTCGTCGCAAAATTGTCCGTTAGCAAAACATTCGCAATATCTGTAAAAGAAATAATACAATTAGCCTTGTATCAAGATTTATTCATTCATGACATTTTTGATACAATGGAATTTGAAAGCAAACATTCGAGTAAAAAATACTAAATAAATGTATTTAAAGTGGACTGCTGAGATGTCAATAGCTTGTCAAACATTGCAATACCGACCAACAAATAAAATGAATAGACTTTCATATATAAAATTGACCAGCTCGCTAGAATCTTGTCCAAAGCAAAGATATGAGAAACTTATCAAGGAAATGTACTTTATGATTTCTTTTGTTACATTTAAATTACATTTGTAATCTTTCACATCATTTTACTACTTAATATAAAACAAAAGAAACTTACAGTTTTAAACATTGTGATTTTGTACAATTGCAAGGTTTCTTTAATTTTCCGTTGTTACCAACCTTCCCCGCCATTCCCTTTTGTAACTGTTGTCTGAAAAAGATCAACAGGATGTGAGGAAATCTTACTTTTCAAGATCAATCAATCACAAATGAAGTGAATCATTCTTCCAGGTGATTGCCTAGAACAGCGTGGTCCAAGGATGTCGGCCTCGTGGGCCACACTATTATTTTTGTATTGTTCGCGGGCCACAATACTGCCGAGAATTGGTAAATAGTGCAATACAAAACAAACACTTTTATATTGTCCAAACACATTGATCATTATTTGTCATTTACCAAGCTAAAACCCACTAAAAATTCAATAAAACGTGCAGAAATCTTACTGTATCTACATTTAGTGTAAGATTTCAAACTCTTCATAACGGAGAGAGTGTCATAAGAAAAAATACCGTTTTAGATTATCACCGACACAACTTGCAGACATATTAAGCAAGCATTGTAATATTTTCCCTCCCATATCCAGTCAAAAATCTGTTGGTCAGCTTTCTTTTCAAACTCATGTTAAAATTAACTTACAAATAACTGCAGATTGATTGATTACCGAATATCACCAAATTTGAGATCCAGGAGGGTAATTACTAAATTTTCTGACATATAGGCAGCAGTTTTTGTAACACTGTTTAGACTGGTTGCTAAAAACACCTGGGAATTATATTGTTCGGCCATTGCATTAATATTTAGTTATCAGATATAGCCAACCTAGGCTCATAGATTTCTCATTCGATTTTTGGTTTATTATGAAGTCAATTTTGTTAGCATATATTCCCGACCAAAAAATAGAGCGCCAGTTAACAATTTAGACTGCCGAGCACATCATTCAACTTCGCCAGTTGCCTCAGCTAACTATAACACTAGTCAATTCATTGTCATTAGTGATGTAACAATATTTCGAAAGATTTTACTATAGTTATTTTTATGACGAAACAACACCAAATGCTATTTTTGTTCACTCTCGCGCCAATGCGACGCGGGCCACAGATAATGAAGCGGCGGGCCACATGTGGACCACGGGCCTGGGTTTAGACCACCCTGGCCTAGAATATGAGTATTTCACCATTCTGGATGCACTTGAATGATATAATAATTAATTCATCTTTTAATGAAGATATTTAGAATATTATAATGTATGATACTCACATTGAGGTATCTTGAACGAATGATGCCTGACTGTTTAATTGTTTTGTTAATTGCTCGACATATTTAGCTGGCACCATTGCATAACCGACGTTACCTAGCAAATAGGTCATGTAGAATTAGCATCCAATTGAAGAAAAAAAATGCAATATCCACTGAAAGGGAGTCATTAAATACTATTTATTCAGGATGCAGATTTTTGAGATCTCATGTTTTGTTAGTTTCAATAAATTATTCTAGTTTAATTTGATTATGTTCAATGGGACATAGATGCTGCTTGTTTTTGAATATCCTATCCTATGCCAGAAGTGGTTGTTAAAAGGGTCCATAGCATAGAAAAGGCTGAGAATTGCTATATAATATAAACAAAACAGTATCCATAGCATAACTGTATTCAAGGACTACTATCTAGAAAAAGTTCATCTTTAAAAAAATCTTGCTCAAGTGCCATATTTTAAATCATTTAACAGCCTTTCACACACAAAAAATATCTAAATGAATTTACTGGGAGTAAGTACAGAACCAGGTGGTAATGCTGAAAAATTAGGACGAATAGGCTGCAGTGTTGTTGCTGGCATGATGAGTCGTTGTTGAGGTTTTGCCTGGAAAAAAAGAGATGTCAAATGTACATTAGAATCCTTAGCTTCCAAATATCTAACCCATTGAAGAATAAAGCAATGTAGACGATACATATCCGAATCAGAGAGATATTGAGATACAAAATTGAACTCTCTCATAAAATAAAAATTCAAGAATGCAATAACAGTATTTGGCAAAAATTATTGACAGCTTAGGAAAGATTCACTATTTATGAAACTTGTTGTTAGCTCCCAGGTAGAATTCATAAAATCTTTCATAAGCAAAGAAATGATGAACACAAACCTGATGTGTTGTTTGACTTGGGATTGCGACTTTAACAGTTTGTGCTACTCGTTGAGTGTTTGAGGTTTGTTGCAGTTTTGGCAAGTTGGATTGAATAAAAGTTAAAGCGCCGCCAGGTGATTGATTCAAAGTTAAATTTCCGCCATTGAGTTGAGCCATGGAGGTAAAAGTGATCGGTTGACCTGATGAGAAAAAAAAAGTACAAATATATTTTTTTGCTTATTAGTATTGTGATTGAAATCATCATACATCAAATAAATACAGAGAAAACGGTTGAAATTTCACAAAACAAACCAACCTTGATTCGACCTTATGGTTGGTTGTTGAGCGTTATTATTATTATTCGGAGGTACTAGTTGAACATACTGGATCTTCATTCCTTGAGAATCCTGAAAAAAGCAAAAACCTTTTAAACTGATGGACGGGAATTTACAAAGAAAAATCAACTAAAATAAATATTTATTGATAGTAAATGGTTATGGATATTAGTCAATTGTGAACAAAGAATATACCTGCATTGTTGTAGAGTTGGGAACGACATTAATTCTCTGAACAAGTTGATTCGGTCGGTTATTATTGCCATTGTATTTGATTTGAGATTGATTTGAATTAACATTAATCTGGAAATTATATATTATTATATTATACTCCATTTAGGTCAATAACACATCAAATTAGGAAATGAATTTTTTTAAATGGAAATTCCTTCTCGATCTTAGATACTGTAAAATTCTGACAAATTTGATACAATCTAATCACAGGTATTTATATAGAAAAAAAAAACAACTTAGGCTGATAATAAAATTTGCACTAGTCAGATCTTGTCATGTCCTTGAAGCATTTGTAGAGCATTGTTTTCTGAATTATAATGTAATCACACAATATGAGAGCATCAATCAGGCTATACTCACTATTTTATTTTGTATAGGTATCGTAATTTGTTGTTGTCCAACAAATGCCTTATTGATTTGTCCTCCAATACCATTTACCATGGGTAAAGAATTATTGTTTACGACAGCCTGCAAGTGAGAGGTAAAACAAATTAAATTTTGATATAGAAAGGTATGTGATAGTTTGAGAGACGCTGTTTTACAAATCAAAAAATAAATGAATATTTTGGAAGCATACCTAGTAGAATATTGATATATGCATTTATTGCAACTAACATTTAGAATTTAGCCTAAATTGACAGTATTTGCTAAAAAATGCAATCAAATTGAGAAGTAACTATCAGTTGGGATTACCAGAGACTAACTACTACCCTTATATTCCCTTGCAGTGATGGATCTGTATGCATATAGAATTTGCTAATATGATTAGGCAAGAATAAAAAACTATTCCAAGCGATTAAAATGTTTTTCTGTAAACTACTAGTACAGAAGAATTTTCTGTTATGTTCTGGCTAACTTCGTCGGCATCAGGTTTTAAAAACAAGCGTTGTCTGACTTTTGAATCACACAAATTAAGAAAAGTAAAAAACTTTAGCATGATCTGTAAGTAATATGCATTGGACTTGCCTGTGTCATATGTTGGAATTGATTACTAATTGATGTTTGTATTGGTATTGTAAACGATTTTCCTGTTGAAATTGATTTTTGAGAATTAGATGGTGGGATAACTGATACTTTAATTGGACTCTTCACGGGTGAGATTGGTATCTGAAAGACAAAAACACGATTCAATAAGTCATTTTATACAAAAGTTGTGTACAAGGTCATGCACACTCATTTGGAGCAGTCATCTAAAAATGTGAGCGCTACTGAATACGTGGAGTTTCTACTATAAATAATGAGACCGTGAATTACGACTGTATCTAGACTCGAATCAATTATGATCAGGAAACAGCTATGAATCAAAGCTAAAAGGTTCAGAAAAAAACTAGTGGCATAAATTTCCATTACCGTAAGGTGCAGTAATCAATAATAAACATTACATTTTAGAATACCAGTCAGTCATGTGAAATCATACATTGTTTAATAACATTCAACATTGTTACTCACCTTGAATCCACCTTTTATAGGAGAAAGTACAATACTTCCAGATTGTAGATTTAATGTTTTCACAGGTGATGCTTGGATATTCTTTGCTTTTGTAAAGACGACCTGATATTCAAATGATAATAAAACAATGTTTAAATTTCATAATTACTCGGGCTCGGCAGTTGGTTTATCTTGCTTCGTATTGGGAAAATACTCGTCATTGTACATCTGATTACCTCACATGGGTTCACAGGTACATTATCCTATACAGGAAAAATGTTTAAAATGAAGCCTATGTATTTTATGATTCAAAGGTTCAAAAAAAAACTATATGGACTTGTGTTTTAAACTACAATCAAAAAGATTTTTCATACCGGAGTCTTAGATGATGCTGCAGTTGAAGTATTGGATTTCTTCACAATAAATTTTGTAACAACAGGACCCCCTCCTCCATCCTTTCTTACCACCTGGAATTAAAACCTGCTTTAGACCCATAGTCTTGAATCTTTGGATCATGAAGGAAAACTTAAACAGTATTATCAATTAGAAGAGATAGTTAAGCCATGTAATGGATGAGGTTAATTCAAAGAGAATATATAGGGGTTTATTTATGATTTAAAATTCAGAGAAGAATGCTGCACTTCTGGATTTACTGTTCAATAACTCAACCTTTAATTAATCGAATCAACTTATCAGTGTACCTGTATAGGTTGGGTTGCTACCATGAACTTCTTTCCAGCCAAACTTATTGGTTGTTGTGTCCTTATCGATGCCATTATACTGGTCTGTGGCCTGTTGAAATAAATATTAATAAAAGAAAACTACCGACTCTACGTCAGTGATTCCTCTAATAAAGAAAAGATCTGGCATTGACCTATTAATTCTTCATATACCATAAACAATAGAGAAACTCACTTGGTGACAATTTTGTTTGCATTTGTGTTTATGAAGTTAACTGGCGTCGGTAGTTTTTCTTCCAATTTGGGAGATGCTGGAACATAAGAATTGCAATGTTTTAAAAAAAATTCATACTTTCTCTTGCACAAGATATCAATTAATTATATAAAAGAAAACTGTTTTTCACAAGTTACACATTAATAAGCAAATATTTACCTTTCATTCTGTCTGAAATGGGCTTTTAGTGGGATGTACCGATGAAGTCAAATACCAGTGTAAAAATATTTACAATTTGATATTATTAACATTTGGAGAATGATTTTAAAATTGGAAAAAACAAACTACTAGTGGAAAATGATTTCAGTCAAATGTTGAAGCAAAATCTGGCATAAATCTTGATTCCATTGCATTTCAATTTCATTCGATTTTTAGAATCAAATCGAACTGAAAAATATAAAAGACACTTTTGTATGTATATGTATAACCTGACGATAGATCATCATCTGCTAAAAAGCTTTCCATTGCAGCAGCAGTTTCAGGAGAAGGCGTATGTAATCCATCGGCTAATTCTTCATTACTGCTTCCTGACACTTCAGCAGTGTTGGTATTTGGGTCTGATGCAAAATGGAATTATAATATATTACTAGGAATGAACATCAGTTTAATTGAACAATAAAATCTACAAAAAATCTATTTTCTATCTATAAAACTAAACATACATTCGGAATTATCAATACCCACCATTTATACTATTTTCTTGTTGTTTTTCATCATTTTGCTCAGTTTTTACCATGACAGGTTCGCCAACCATCAGTACTTTTGCTGGAGTTATTATTTTCGTCATGTTGTCTGAATTATGTTGATTTCTTTCCGGTGACATTGCATTTTTTGTACCTGATATGATATATGAAACACATTCTTACAAAATGTTTTTGGCACACAGTGAAATGCTCTATAATGTATTATAGTTCACATTCAAATAGCAAACGAAGTTTTTAAGAACAGAGAATGGTCTTTATACCATGCAGCCATTATGTACCAAACCATGTGTTTGCAATTTAAAATAACGAAGAACCAACATAAAAACAATTCAAAACACTCAGCATTCTGATCTAGGCAGGCACACCTATTTTATAGGGCTACACCCACAAAACATATAGTAGGAAAAAGGATATTATTAGGATCATATAAAATGACTAGTTAAAAGAAACTCATGAGCTATATTAAGCTTGCTCTAATGCGAATTAGAAAAATCAACTTCCAAAGATTCATTCCAATGGCATGACAATTGGTGTTGTATTGAAAGCAAACTTTTCAACTGACAAATCGTACAGCATGATGCAATGCATCTTTATGTAAATGATTCCTAAAAGTATTATATAGAACAGGACTCTACAAACTCCCAACCCCCTGGTGGGTAAGCGAAAGAAATCAGTGCTGAGACCCACCATCACCGAAATGTAGACAAGATTCAATTTTTCATTTAGGAATTTGAAAGCACATCGGCCTCATTAATAGTATTATCAATTCTATCATATTTCCAAATATTTTCTGTATTATTCAATCTCACTTTATTTTTATTTTAGATCCTGGGACCTGGGTATCCCAAAAAAAATTTGGCTGTGCCAAGTGGGTAGTGATGGAAAAAGTTTGAAGAAAATTGATAGAAAAGAACCGCCAGTCTACTAGCAAAGAGCATTACATACAGAATGGCATCACTTATTTAAGCTTAAACAAAATCAAATAAAAGATATAAAAATGACTTTACATAAAAATTGCATGTATATTACAGTCACAATGGATTACCAAGCAAACTAATTGGTCAAATATGAAACTGCCATTTTAAATACCTTCAGTTACTATATCATTAGCTTCCATCTGAAAAATATCTTGTAGGTCAGGCTGATTCTTTAAACTTTCCATTTTAGAATCTCTGACAGTTCAAGCTGTAAAAATCAGCATAATCAATTTGGTGGAAAGTATGTACAATGGATAACAATATTAAATTGGTAGTCATTACATTTCAACTATCAAAAATGCAATAATATTAAAAAAATTTGAAATTTTGTTCCTCCTTTTCTATTTTATACAGTGGTTAAACAACACCAACACTGCGCAACAAAAAAATGGAAGCACAATCTGAAATGTCACCATTGAATTCCTTGAAATAAAATAATCGCATTTACCGAAAAAAAAAATTTTTTTATAGTAACATTCTAGAGTATTTAGCAAAGAAATGCAATTTTTGTCATGTGACACATGTCGCGATTTTGATTATTATTGAGACAATGATAGCATGATCTGACGCATCTGCCGTCGTGCCATATCAGACTGGATTCTGTGGCCCTGGCAGGTGCACGCCTGAGCATGTTAGGGTTACGCGACAAAGCACGCGAGCAAAATTTATTTTGCACGCCGTAATATTTGTGATTGCTCACTATTCACCATTATATCTGACAGTATTGAGGGTGAAGGAATAAAACAGTTGCCAATAAACAGTACTAACAGGTTCTAACATTACAAACTGACCGATTATAGTCAACACGCAACTTTCAGCTTTTACAAACATGCCAAAACCCATGGCGATTAACAACCAAATGGGCCTCTTGGAACGTGAGGCTTTTTGTTATCTTTATGCTTGTGCCGATTAATTGACCTTTGACCTATGCAAAAATACACATCGTCACCGGGACTGTGTGTCAAAGCCCCAGTTGGAATGTTTTATATAACACTACACTTGTTTATTCAAGTTTGCTTCTCAAATAGGACCATTCTGTCAGTTTCACGCTGGCAAATCTAGGTATTCACACAGTTTCGATAAATTTGCAGGCGTGCTCAGAAGTTTGGCATGCCATATTTGCACTCCGGGATTGTGATTGCATGCCCGATTCCTTTTGAAAAAAAAGGCTATGAAATCCAAACCCCCTCGTATCAAAGGTAAATTGAGTGTTTGTTTTATTGAACCGAATGTCGGTACATCTTGGAATATGAGGACTGTGCCCTACTGTATTTTTCAGAGAAAGAGGAAAGTCGATAAGATGACTTAATCATACTATCATATGACAGTAAGACGACTAGGCCGGTCTGGATTTTATGGCCTTTTTGCACAAGAAATCGGGCGTGCAATCAGAAATTCCCGAATGCAAATCAGAAATCCCGGCGTTCAATTATAGATCACAGCGTGCAAAACGAATGTGCCAGTGTGCAACTGACTTTGACTTTAGATACTGTCCAGTACATACGCATAAAATTGTTGGGTAAAAATATGTTAAATCGGAACAAATGGACATTTGACCCCCAAACATTTTTTCTATACTTTGTCATTAATTTTGGGAGTGTTTGTGTGACTTTAGATACCGACACTGTTCAGTACATCTGCATAAAATTATTGGATAAAAAATATGTTATATCAGAGCAAAATGGACGTTTGACCCCCAAACATCACTTATATACTTTGTCATTAATTTTATGAGTGTTTTAACGTAAAATTATTGGATGAAAAATACGTTGAATCAGAGAAAATGGACGTTTGACCTTTGACCCCCAATCATTGTTTCTATATTTTGTCATTAATCTTGGGAGTGTTTTTGCGTCAAATTATTGGACGTGGAATACACTGTGACCAGTGTCGGCAAGGAGTCTGGCAATATTTTCGCCCATAACTATTCTCATGGGATTCTTATCATTCAACACGATGCGCCACACCGGCAAGCAATTATGGAATAAGATCTTTTTTTTAGGATTAGGATTTACATACTTATCTTGTGGGAGAGGAAAGTATGATGGCTCAATCATATGGCTAACCACGGCCTCTTGTCCAGTTACCAGTCCTTGTTGGGTACAGTATGGGATCAGTTAGCCAGCTATTTGTTTCAGTAAGCATGGACTTGGGACTTTTTTGCTTTACATTTTTCGACCAGGCCAAAGCTTGCAAGCCAGTACAGCAGTATGTAGTCAACAATTGTCTGATTGTGGAGCTACAGTTTGTTAGCATCTTTATATTATTAGATTATTGATTTAAAAATCATTTTAACCAATTTCCATTGGTTAGCAATTGCAAATTTTTGGTGTGCAAACTTGAATCCGCTCGCGTGCATTTTTGCGGAGCGCTAGCGCCCTCGAGCGTGCACCTGCCATGGAATCCAGTTTGGCGACTAGGACTGCCTCCTATCCATTTCTGCATTCACTTTCCTAATAATGTTTCCAGTCCGCCAGTTCAGGTATCTGTTTGAGATATCAGAATGACTGATGATAACTGCAGTACCGGTACTGGATTAAGGAATTCAGAAATTCGAGCCTGTAAATCCAGAAGTTAGTTCTGGGTAATTCTGTAATTGGGGGTGCAAAGGCAGAATCTGAGAATGAGAAGCATCTTCCAGTCTTCGTACTGCAGTAATGTCAGACTGTCCTAAGGCAACAATGCTTAGCACTATTGTCCTCTGCCAACAAGCTCATGATGCAGAATTACTGAATTACTAAATATCAATGCACTTCTGCACTTACAGACTTACAGACATCAAGACATACCGTACCCACTGTACAACAATAACGGCGGTGTGGCACATGTCATGCATGTCTGCATGTTGTTAAGCGTTCGGAATACGCTCACCACCCAGCCACCACAATCCCATACCTCTGTACCTGCATATGTACAGCCATACGGGTACCGTACCACAGTACTGCAGTACCACGATACAGTCAGACAGTGATACCCGACAGTCTGACATGAACTGGTAACCGGACTGCCGAATGAGAGGCTGTGGTTTTCCATAGGATTAAGTCATCTTAATGGCTCAAATATGTAAATTCGATCCGATAAACCACACAACAGCATTGACTGAGCAGTTAAGTCTGTAAGTGCTGAAGTGCAAATGTCGGCAAGTGCCTGCCAAGCATGACATAAAACTGATTAAAATTTGTGATATCTGAGCATATTCTGTAATAGTACTATCGACCTGTTGATATACAGATATACGAGAATTCAATTGCTGTATTGACAGATTCCTGGATTCAGGCAAGGCAAATATCCTGGATATAGTCCACTCCGCCGTTATTTTTATTAACCTGAATACCGTTACCGTACATTGCCCTGCTGTATAGAAGTAAAAGCCATAGCAAAAATTTCTGAAAATATGTAAATATATCTTACCTCGCAATAAAACGTAGTAAAACCAGGCATACAACAACTGACTAGCAAAACAGAAGCACAGGCAGCAAAACGTCTTTCAAAACTTTCCGCGATGACAATCGCCCATTTTCGTCAGGTGATCAAGGTCGATATGACATCATGATGCGGTTCATCGACGATTCAATTTCGCGCCAGTAAAAGCCACAAATCGATTTTTATAATAAATATGGATAAAAACAATTGAAAATATTGGGCTATAATTCTGATTAAAAAGTTATTATTCTTACTAATAATAATACGGTATGAAGTAGGTGTGATATGAATCGACTGCAACTCTTCTTGATATCTGCATTATTCTATACTAGCCAACGACTAACATACCGATACTAGCCGTACGCCTGCAATCGAATGAGACTGGTTTTCTTAAGGAAAACATTAGTATTAGGACTAACATATTTATATAGGGGGAGGAGAGTCGATGACGGCTTCGTCATATGACAAACCACAGCCTCTCGTTCGGTTACCAATTCATTTTGCGTTTGGGATTATTCAGCCAGTTATTATAGAAGTCCCAAATGGCGGAATTCGGAATACAGTAACTCAATATGGACAAAAGCCGTGATAATGTCACAATCGAATTGCATCAATTCATAAACATGAAATACTGGTTAATGTGCTGAACATATTGAAATAAATGGACAATTCACCAAATTCTCAATGAATATATATACAGAATTAAACTTGGGAATAACAATCATGTCATTGAGGTAATCGGCCTTGGTTTTGGTTTATCCCCGTTGGTGAGGATTGGAAGTATCTTATGAATAAGTCATTACTAAATAACTGAATATTTTTAAAATATAAGCATTAATATTAATTTTTGGAAAAGAAATGTAGGCCTACATGTAGATTGCTCTTATTATTGGACACGAGGTAGACATAGGCTATGGATCGACTTGGTGTGGCATCGTTGTTGTGGAAACTAACTACTTATTTCCAACTACTGGGCCAATTGCTTTAAAATTGTCAGTGGTTACAGCTTGTTGTCGTTGCTAGAAGCCTTATACTTTTATTTATTTCAAAAATATCTGTTGGTTCCATGAAATTTGTTTTTCAATCGAAGTTTTGTGTGATGAGGTCAACAAAATAAAAATTTTGTGCGTAGTTACGTGATCACATTTAAATGATCCTGGGGACAGACCAACGACGACCGCATAAGAAATAATGTCCGAATCGAACAGTATGTCAGGTTTTTAGCGCACAGCATGTCGGATATTTGAAATCAATGAAAACTTTGTAACTTCAGCTCGAACAATAAACCAACGGAAGATCTTGAAGGAATGCCTATACATATGATAAAACTCGTTTGAACGTTAGCGAATGGATTCCTTCATATTTTCCGTATCTGAACATTTGCATAATACTTGTTTAGGACATAGTTAACTAGAATTCTGAATACGTTGTCGATCCAAAATTTAATAAAATTGTCTTCGATGAAACGTATGTTAAAATACATACGTTAATACTATTTTTGACAATAAAGGGGTAGTGATTATGGAGTATACAGGCCTACAAGTTTTATTCTATAGTGATATTTAATATTACTCATGAATTTCTATGAAAATACACGGCTGACTGTAACATATAGTCTATTCTAGTGCAGCGTTCCCAAACTGTGTTCGTCTTCCGAGGAAAAGGGATCAAAATTACGACTAAATTGGTCCCCATGACGATCTCGGGGTCGTGAAGTTGTCGACCAACTGGTGATCGTTCAATATCGCGTCACCGTCGTCCTGAAGCGGACTAACTTTTTGAGGGTAGTAGCATTTTCGTTAACCGTCAGCGTAGAAAGGTAAAATGAATTAAACCCTTAGTATGCAAGAGAGTGCGAAACATGTCATCGGGGGTCTTGAAATTTTACACTAATCGAATTCCCCTAATAAACAAATTCTGTATAGACTCTATCCTCCAATTCATCTGTCTCGCCTTTTTTTCTTTGGTCAAGGATCAAGGAACGAAGCATTTCTTACAATTCACGAGCTGTTGGTTAATGTCTGAACAAAATCCTGAATTATCATTTGAATTTTTGAAACCTCGAACAAGTTCCTATTTAAGGATATGTTGTGGAAAACCCCGACCTAGTCAAACGATGTAACTTTCAATTCACAGCAAAATTAACCAGGCAGTTCTGTCCTATGAATAATATATTTATTCTAAGTAGCCCAAAAATTATAGTATATCAACAACAATATTGTGAACAATTATCATTCGTGATAAATAGCGTAAATCGTCGCCGTTGCCCAAAGAGTTGAATTAGCAAAACTGGCTCCTGCCCAGTTGTCACGTTTGTCGTCCCAGAGACATCTACTACCGACTCTTACTCCTTGATCTTTTATCTGTCCAATATTTACCAGTACAATAATCTTATGCCTGAAACGTAAAAAAATGTAAAGCCATAAAAAATATCGAAAATGTTTTTGTAAGTCATATTATTTCAATATTTGCGCAAATGTTATCGCGTGTCCTATTTCTCTATATAAAAATAATTATATGAAATCCCACTCATAGTCAATATAGTATCAAATACCTCATTCAGAGCCTGTATTGTAAACCTCAATCAGATTAACTCAACGGATAGGCGGCGATATCAACAACAGTATTTGAAATTATGCACACATACATGTCTGTTGGTATATAATATGGCGAATCTTCCTAACCGGTAAGGGAGAGAGCGTCAAAATACTGCTGTATCGGAGTTTCGTTGATATTGATTATTGAAACTACAATCTCAATAAAGGGAGAATTGAAAAGGTATATTTTCTATTAGAGCAATATTTTCCTAATCGGGGGTCCGCTTACCTCAAGGGGTTCAAAGCATTTCCAGTGGGTCCGCGAAAATTGTACTTTATTATTATTTAAACGCTATATTACAAACTCAAAGGATGCGCTTGTCGGTATACAATAATTATATCTACAAATAATTATTGCAAATAAACAATTCATGAATTAACTGCAGATTAGAGAAATCAGAAGTGAATGTAATATCCCCTTATAGTTAGACTCATCATATATATGAAACAAAAAAACGGCACATTGGGCAAGCCTTGGTGCGATTCCGAGACTTAGTAATATTTTAGTATCTCAGTAACATTCAACTCATTGGAAAACGAGAACTTCCTTCTGAGCATTTTGAATAATTTAACGTAACATATACTTAGGGTTATCATATTTTTGTGACTTCAATTCGGGACACCTCAAAAGACTACCCATTAGCTGTGATTTTGTAACTTCACATTTTTCTATTCTACTACATAGGCCTACATTCCTACATTTATAGCTGTCCCGGCTGTTTTTATTGACCATATTGTTATCAAAATTTCATGCGCATATTCACTGTACAAATATCCGGTTCAGATCGAAAAATAGAAAGGAATTGACGTTAACGATATCGGTACAAATAAATCGAAATTAGACTAATAAGTATGGATTTTAAATGCGATACGTCTGTCAATAATGGGAATCCGCGGGAAACAAACGCCATTCACCTTCAGTAAGTAGGCTAGCGCTGCGCTACACAGAAACAACAGTAACGAGAACATGTTCGTGTATTATGCTGGATGGCTGAACGCAAAAGCGGGACGAAATGCTTCAATAAGGTACGGTATTATAATAATTTGCAGTTGAACACACACAATCAGGAGCCCCTTCCAAAACTCCATAACAACCCTTTCAACTACAATAGGATATTTACGGGTGCTGAAAATTGTGATAATTTTATGGAATATATATGACTTCTGAACCTAAAGTAGAATTTTATATTTATCGCAGAAATTGAGTACTAAAAATTGCAATCACTAATTCAAATATAATATATGTTGGAAATTGATGAAATACACGCACCTATTAAAAATTGTGTCGTTGTTAATGCACTACAGTGCATATCTAACTTCATCTATCTTCAACCATATTTACAATCTTTTGTACAATTCCCAGACATTTTGCTTTTTTCCTAATCTTATTTTCTGTATGTTGTGTATAGAAATATCGGAAAGAATTACGATATACAAACTGCTCAGTACAATAGCGCGATTCCGGCTATCCGGGAAGCGAGTGATTTTTCGTTGGTAATCTCTACATCAGTTATCCTTAGCTCGATCAAATTTAAACCAGCAGAAATCAATTAAACGACCAAGATAGACAACTCGGAATCACGATAGCCTGATTACCACCGTACAGTATGTTCCCCAGCTTTTCTTTTTAGGGGGGGTGTTTCAAAATTTAGGGGGTGGTAAATAATTTGCTATTAGAGATAAAACTAGGCTATTTGTGTTCTTAAAAAAATGGTATGTATTTAAGAAACGATGTACATGGGGCCCCCCAAGTTGATTGACGGCAAGCCAAAATCCACAGCAGAATGAAATTGTAGGGTCAGAAAAGGGGAGCGAGTAAAAGTGCGGGACGACACGGCTGGGGTTCAGGGCGCGCTTAAGCGCCCTGAGAAAAATTTGAGAAATAGGCACCAAAATAGGCTCTAAGCTTGATTTTAGATACACCTAGCATCGCAGTTTGTTATGTAATGAAATCAATAATTATAATATTTAGCTGATAGAATTCCCGGGGAATAGATAACAAGCACGGCTTTCAACCGTAAATATATACTACTACGTTTCAACAAGTAATTTGCAACTGATAGTGACTAATGAATTAAGTTACTTGCTCATCTGGCATTGTATGAATGGCTACTTATGGCTTGTTTTGTTACACATTTCTAATTTTTTTGAACAGGTTTGTTTGACTTTTGTATGAATTAAATTTTGAAATACGCTCGTCAACTGATCATAATGTCGCATAATGTTGTATTCCTTCAGAACTGAAATATTTTGTCGGTAAGAAGACAAATCGCTGAAGTTTGATTCTTTTCAATAAAGAAATAAAAACGCTGTCATTCATCTAAAAAACGTCTGTTTTCAGTGCCTAGTTTTCGTTTTGTGACATCTTTAAGCTCTTAATATACGGCTGATATCTAAAATACCGCAGTGTGTTATCCTAATACCCATACGTATACATAAGATACCGGAATAATTCAATTGTTACGAAATAAACGTGCTTAAACTGTGATAATGATGTAACAATAGACGGTATCTAAAACTCAAAAGGTACCAACCACATGAAGGATTAAATTATTTCACTCAAGTTCGGCGGGCCATTTTAAATCGTCACGCGGGCCGTAATTGGCCCGCAGACTGCGGTTTAGAACCCCTCAGTGTGGAATCGCACCTCAAAATTAGGGGGGGTGTTTGAAATTTTAGGGGGGGTGTTCACCCCCTATAGGGGGGGTGTAGGGAAATCACTGCCACCGTACATTCAATGGTATCAATACTTTTATTTCCTCCATACTCGAGCCTAAAAAAAAAATTACCTGTGGTATCCCATTGCTTTTACTTCTGTTTTGAGGGCGTCAGCTATTACTTTACATTGATGCTTGCAGTCATTTGCGTTGTATTGAATGTCTTCCAAGTGATCCTGTAAACGAACGTTAGTTTTGCTATATGATTATGTTTTGAAATTTGATTAAAAAGAATAAGCACAAAAGTTGACAATTGTATGTGGTAATAAGAACAATTGTGTAATTTATATTATTTCTTTAACGTTTATATGGAGTTTCATATGGAAATTATTTGTGTGGGAATCATCTGCACGTGATCTACAAAGCAGTTCTGGCGTTTTACTAAATAGTGCAGTAAGTCTCACCACAGCCACGCTAAATACTTAACAATTATCAAATAATGATATTCATTGGGTTTCTGCGGGACCAACTGCTTATTCTTCCCCTACAAATATATTTCAGAAATACAATTTAACTACAACAAGAGCAGAAATATATTTGTGGTATTGTGCAGCAAGTATCTTGAATAACTCAGAATCATTAGATAAATTATTTTAATAAAAAGTCAATGTACGTTTAAGTTTAAACGGTTGAACAAATTTGAAGTATGCTTGAAATGAAAGGGCTTTTGACGGACTGAATAAATCCTTGCAGCTAGCATTTTCCACAATCTCTTACAGATATCGAACACTGTCAAACTTATAAAATTGAAAAAATAACGAGCGAATTGAAGCAAGTACTTGACTTTATTCGCCTGTCACAATTGGATTTTCAATTTTTTTTCACCCTGTATCTTCAGTGGATACTATGGATATGTATTTTGTAAGTCTTTCCTCTTCAATTGATTAGGAGGTAACATATTCTTACACTTTACTGTACTAAATCTCTCAAAATACTTCACCGTCAACATTTGCTTGGCAATTGTCTCGACCCTTCCTGTTTCAAATCTTTGATCTGGTTCCATTTTATATGAATTTTGGAATTTTACTGGCTGTCCTTTGGTTGTAAATAGCTCACTGGAGGGATCCTCTCTACAACAACGATAAGATACTGAGTTGCAATGATTTAACCATATATTCTGTGCATATTTATGTCATCTGCCGGAAACGCTCCAAAATAATTGAATCTCTCTGACCACAAAACTCAAGTCTCAAAAATTGTTATCAGACGACCAACTAATTATAAAATTAAACTGCTATAACTGCTCTCAATCTTTAGTTTCTATAAAAATATACTACAGGCGTACTGTCTGAGACGGGCACAATACTAAGACATGTCTGACAGCAAAAATGACCCAACAAATCGGAATAGAGGATTTTAACAAATGTTCAAAGGGTGGGTTTACACGAGTTGACACGCAGTGCTGGATATAGAGTACTAATATTCAAACAAAAAGAGAGACAATTCTATTGCATTAGTCTGATTACGAACCCTATATCAAACAGATATTTTTACTCACGCAAATGTGCAGACACTCGAACCTGGACGATTTAAAAAGACGTTGGACGCATCGAACATACTTCCCCTTCTTCCGATAAGACTTTTCTTCACTGAGTTTTCCATCTTCAAAATTTATAAGAAATTTTGCCTCAAATAAACTATGTTCTGAAATGGTATTTTATTCACATAAAAGGTGATGGCCGAAGTTAAAATTAATTTCTCACAATGCATAAATATAATTGCCAGTAAGTAACCCGTTATAATCATGAAAAGTTTGATATGACTATGCTTTTCCTGTTGCCTTGTTCGACGTTAGAAACCTGCTTTAAAGCGAAGGCCGGTATATATCAACCACAAGAATATACTGAAGAAAAGAATCGACTAATAAATTCACCCCGAGCAAATATATTGAAACCCCATTTTAGTAACGTTACCGCCTCGGTTGTTGAATTGCACTGAAACACTGGCAATTCGAAAAGTATTAATGGTATCATCTGACACAAAAAATACCGAAGATTAATAGAATATGATAAACCATCCCATCCACTCGACGTGGGGTTTTAAATAGATTCGTGCCGAATTGAAGCGGTTTTCGTTTTCTACTGGAATAGACTACGCCGGTGATGCCGCTTTTTCAGACGCGGTTGATTGCGTGCGTTTTGTTGTCAAAACGACGCGCCACCATGCGGAGAACGAGCCTTCGATCTCGTTTGTTCTGTAAAAAAACTCGCATGCAATATCGAATTCGAGAGAATTTATTTCGTATCAACTACAGTCAAATAAATGGAAAGACAAACAGGGCATCTTTCTCGAGACATAAGAGAGGTTGTAAATAACATAACATGGATGAAAGGTTTGTGTGGAAAATATGAGAAAGTATATCAGAGTGACGCAATAGTTTATTACTGATACAATTTTTTACTTTTAGTTATTGCTATTGGAAATGCAAATGTAGGAAAAACGTGTCTGATAAAACATTTTTGTGAGAGTAAGTTCAGTCAGTGCTATCACGCAACAGTCGGCGTCGACTATGGATTTAAAGTTCAAAATGTGAACGGAATACCTTACAGAGTAGGTTTATTTTGCCAAAATTTTTTATCTGTCTACTTCAAATATCTCTACCTGTACTTCTACCCGAAGGTGCATCTCTGGGACCTCTCTGGAGACGAGCAATATTATGATGTGCGTACAGAACTTTACAATGGCACAGATGCTTGCTTTTTGGTCTACGACGTAACGAACCCGTCAAGCTTTGAAAGTTTAGGTAAGTTTTAACGAATTATCGTTGGAACCAATGCAACAACGTTAATTGCAAAGACTCTTCACAATGCTTATCTTTCATCTTTAGATAACTGGTTGAAGGAAATAGCAAAGCATGGCGCAATGGGAGCAAAAGTTGTTGTGGTTGGTAACAAGGCTGATCTACGTTCCAACGTAAGTCTACGTGCGATTTCTCACAAACCAACCTGAATATAAAGATAGTTCAGATTATTGCCAAAGATACTGGGTAGATAGTGACCATTAACGTATTGGAAAATTAATATGAAATAATAAGAGCCTAGTCAGCTTAGGTATGAATTGATCATTTTGCATTGTAGCGCGGTTCAATTGCGACGACAGAGGGAAGAAAATGGGCTACATCAAGAAAACTTCCATATTATGAAACTTCAGCGCTGACTGGCGATGGAGTGTCAACAATGTTCACAGAATTGTTGGACTCTATTTCTGAAAAGAAACCTCGCCATTGAAAGGCTCACATATCCGCACGTCGCTATTCGATTTCCACAGACGAGAAGTTCTACATTGTGATTTTTGGTCTATTGTCTCGTTTCGAAACACATGCTGTTCATGGAACGCGACAAATTGTAATATATATATATATGTATAGGTAATGAATACCAACATCGTTACGAACTCGATCATCACAAGCATGATTTCTGAACTAATATTTTTAAATTAATCGTGATATTCGACCACTCGAACCATATAACTGAAATTTGTCCTCAATTAATTTTATATTATTTCACTACCTATCATATATATTGACATCCATGTGTCATAGGACCTATTGTCGCCAAAAAGTATATATATATTTGCCAACAGGATTTATTATCATAGCCGCACGTAGTGACGAGTTATCACAGCCCAAATGGATGTTTCCCCGAGCATCGACTTCCTTGTTTACTTCGTGACATTGGCCAATCAGCAAGATGCAAAAAGTGACGTAACAATGCCCCCTTTCGCATCCGCTCAGACACTTTTCTCACTCAAACATATTTTCATGCGTGGTCGTAAACTTTACCTCGTTTTTGAATTCTATTCGTTAGTTTTCAGTTATGTTTCGGATATTTAAATATAAATCAAATAATTCGACGATCACTTTGTCTTCTTAGGAGTTTCAGTTTAATTGCAGTAATCAAAAATTAGTGTAGAAATAGCTGTGATAGACTAGGTTAGAATTCGTTAGCGGTAGTTTTAAAAAACAGATTGTTGAATTCTATGAATCAGAATGATGGTTTAAAACAAATGCTCCATTTTACATGCGCCCACTCGCAAAACCATTCTTAAAATGACCACCGAAAATTTCGCAATGGTAAAGTATAGGAAGAATTTTTTCGGGGTCAAAGGTCGGGGAAAGTATCATAGTTTATTCAGTGCTTTTCAACCGGGTATACCGTATAACCCGTGATGGGATTCAAATTTTTTGTCAGCCGGTTCCATCACAAAAGTCATATTTTTCAGCCGGTTCTGTTACAAACAGAACATTGACAGTAACCAGTAAAGCTAACCGGTTCGCTGATGTCATAAATTTCCGGGAGACGGTTCTATAGAACCGGCGCGTACCGGCTGAATCCCACTACTGGGTATAACCAGTAGAAATGACAGATTAAAAATGACTCACAGGAATATTTTAATATTTTTAATACTACTAATATTTCCAAACAAAGGCTATTAGCTCTTGAGAAAAAAAAAACTGTTGCTCGATATATATGAGTAGTTTCTGTTGAAGACATTTGGATAAAGAAATATCAGTCTAATATTAATTATAGGAGGAGCAACTTACGTGTTCAAATTTGACTCCAAAGTTAAATTCAGGCGTTTTAACATTTAATTATCAGAGTATCCAATTCAGGCGAAAGAATTAATTTTAACACTAATCCTTATGTTAGCGGAGTTATTAAAATAGCGACTAATTCCTTTGCACTAAAACTTCTCGCAAATAAGAGACAGACATTACCGAGCATTGTTCTATTGAAATGGACCTAATGAGTAGTTTTCTGAGTGATTGAATGAAACTATTTGTTCGTATGAGTAACCTCTTGATGTGTTACTCCTTGGATTACTCATGGAGAAGCGCTTTATTTCTCGTCTTATGTATGCATGCACCTATATCTGGCCAATGACATTAAACAACATGATGCGCAACTCCGGCATTTTTGTCCGAAGATCGTATTCGATACCACGCTCCAATGCACATACTTGACGAGACGAAAACGAGCGGATGTGTGCTGCTTTCAAGACATAGCACGAATGGTGTTCGTGCCTGCTTTGACAGTTGTTGTCGATTTTAATGATATTTTGGAAAGTTAAGGTAAAAAGAAATCGGAAAAAGGTAAGGTAAATACTATTGTTGTATATCACACCCGGGCATCGCACTGTTAAGTACATGTGGGAAAGCCAGCCTTTGTCAAATACTACGAAGTTATTAATTCAGTACGGTACGTAGTTGCCCATTTGCCGAAATTACATATTTACTTACCCCTTATAGTTTCAAATAGTTCAATCACCTCCAGTTAGATTTTTTTAATCAGTGAGAATATATACTCATTGTTGATTGCTGCTTATTGTAACATACTATTGCGCATTCACTTTTATTTGCGTATTGAATCAAAGTGTTAACAAGTTCTCCTAACATTTCACTCATACCGGTCAATATTGTATAGTCTGATCTCTCAAGTATTTGGAGCCACGAATGCTTGTAATTTTCTGACTAAACCCTTTTATTAGTTGGTTTATATACCAAATTCAGTAAAATATTTTTTACATAAAACATGAGATATTGGATTTGTTAGCTTTTCCATTCTAAATCATATAGACTGCTTTATTTATTCTTAACGAAAAACAATAAATCTCCTGTCTTTCTTCAGATGTGAAAGTTGTAGACAAACCTGTCTAAGCATTGTGAGACTCCTGCAGCACAAGAGGCATATCAATCAAGAAATTAAGCCGACATAAATCAAAACTTTCAACTATTCGTCTAATCTCAATTTCCTATTATTTATTCACAGGACACCTATAGCAGAAGGGGAGATATCAGAAGTCTGGCGACATATCAGTGACAATGTGATTCCAATAAATATAATTAGAGTACTCCATAAATGTTTGCAATAGAAAAACAACCTGTGGCGGCATGCAAAGACATTTGACCCTCCGGTAGAGTCGTGTATGGCCCCCACATCTTGCAGGACTTGAGGAAAATAACTAAAAATTCCAAAGCGTAAGATTGCATAAGCGGTCTTATTTGTAAAAAGGCACAAAACACGCCAGACATACTTAAAACAGCTTTGGAATATGAGAATTACGGGTAACTCACTGCACCTGTGTTATATTTGGTTCATCAACTTTTGGTAGTACTATAGAAGAAATTCCTTAAGGGGTATAATCATCATTCATGATAAAATACTATCATATATTTTTGAACAACTTCAATCTAGACCAGGGATCTCAAACTCGCGGCCCCAGAAAACTTCCAGTGCGTCCCTCGAACGCTTAACAATAATTGTAATCGTATTTTGGATTTTTTTTATCTAAATGTAATAGATTTTTCAAACCTTTTAAAGTGAAATTGATTATTCACACAAAAAACAATTTACTGAAAGTAGTTTTGGAATATTCATTTTTTTTGTCCACATTTTGACCCAATTAAGAATACACATCAAGCTAGCAAAAGAATACTTGAATAAAACACTTGAGTGATTAAATTAAACGCAAAGTACATGAAGAAGGTGGCATTTTCGAAGAAAATGAGAGTTGCAACATTTCTGCTTTTCACAAAATTCTGAAGCACATTGCTTAATTCGTCATATTTCCATCAATACAATGAAAAAACACAATAAGCTCAGCAGTCAATATGACAAATTCGAAGACCAACTTCGAACAGAAAATTTCCATGTGCTTGTATATTAATATAATTATACAACGACTTAGTTACTAAAAATCAATATCAATAATAATTCAAGCAATCCTATGCCACTGCGAAATGTCTTGTCGAAAAAATCTGTGATTTGTTTTTTTACTGATCTATACATGAAATGATAAAAGTAACTTTCTTGCATTACTGGAATTAATTAAACATTCGCAAAGATCCAGATTAACCCATGATCATGTGGCCTCGTTAGTTAGAGTTGGTACTATAAAATCATTTCAGCCTGGCCTTAGTATGCTGGTGACACAAAAAAGATGCCAAACGTCAGGACAAATGTAATTATTAAAACATTGAGTTTATGTTGTAGTATTTTTGTTAATTTTAGGTTCATATATTAAAATTAAGTATTATTCTTTCCTTATTCAAATCTTGTTCAAAAATGATTTTGATGGTTGTACATAGAATTTTATGATTTTTTATAATAAATACAGTAACTTGCAAATGTTGCAATAATAGTGGAATGCAAATATTATTATGTAATTGCATTTGAAATTGAAGAAAATAATAAAACTTAATCCAACTGTTTAGTTGCATCACAATATATGTCACAAACTAAAATTATCTTAAAAATATCTTTTAAGTATACATTATCATAAACTGTTTGCTGCTCTTTTTACAATTTCCAAAATGCAATTCGGCTCTCAAAATCCCACGAGTTTGACACCACTGATCTATTCTAGACGATTCAAGCATTGCTTTGGGAAATAATATCACTTCAATTAAATTGAAATAATCTTGCTATAATAAATACAAAATCGTTGCTATCATAAAGGTAAACCAATTCAGCCACTCGAAATATATTGGCCTTCACAAAGCAATGGAGGCAAAATTGAGAGTTCATGAGCTATGAACATTTGTACTTTTCTTTGTCCTGAACTTTTCATACTCCACAGCCCCTACTAATTTTTTTTAATTTTAATTACTATGTGATGGTCATACATATCTTTAACTTGTATTTTCTGTCATGATGTATTAACAGGAATTATAAACATCCAACAATCAATGAGAATTATATGCGGAATCCCTCAGAATAAATTTGTCTAAAATCGGAGGAAGGCAAAAAATATAAGTAGTTTCCATCCACACAAGCATTTCAAGAAGACTTGCTCGAGCCAAACTAAATGAGCATCGTCAGGTGATCGGTAAGGCTGCAAGTAGAATTCAGCCCCGCAAACTCCTGCATAGAAGATAATATTAATTAGTGGTCTATGAGCTAAATTCCTAAATTTAAACAAACCTATCTACGATGCATTGTTTACCAGCAATGTTACCTACGATTAAATGAATATGTAATAGGCTATGTCTAATAAACTCACCTACAAAAGCAAGTTTAATAGGTGCAAACTTTGTGTTATGGAATTGTATCACAGCACAGTTTTGTATGACACCCTCTTTAAAGGAAATTTTAATGATTAAGCGCAAACATTAAAATTACTAACTTTGAATTTTGTCATTATCCGCAAAATGTTCCACACAAATCTTTCCGCTATCGCGTTTGTAATCTTCTCTGATAAAAAAAAACGTCTATGATGTCCAGAATTGCTCTTTACAGCTTGCCCGCCATTCCAGCTTTCCAAGTAAGCAAAACTTCCTAGATATAGAGATTATTTTGATTCGTTACAGGCGCAAAAAGGCAGGTACTACTCGTAAAAAAGACGCCGAGTAGCAAAAGCGAGCGGAAAACGGACGCGAAAGGCGACGAGAAATATGTGCATTGGAGCGTTGGCTTATCGAGTTCAAAATTTTTGTGTTTAAAAATAGATTCTGTAGCATTGCTCTTTTGACATATTATAA